CCCCTGGTGTGCATGTCTTTGGGGTGGGGGAGAAAGCAGAGCACCCAGAAAAAAAATCCCTCGACAAGGGGAGAAAGTGCCAGCCCCACGCAGATAGTGGCCCTGGCTGGAAATCAATGTTTTCCATCAACCTTGTAGCGAAATGTTGAACAAAATGACATTATTTGGGGACCTACTGTACTACGTTCTCGCGCGGGCTCAGCTGCTTGCCTGCTGTGCGGCGGGCAGGAGCAGCCCTGGAGGGCTCGGGATTTGCCCGTGTGCAGACCTGAGCCCGCCGCCTTCCCTCCCCGCACCCGCTGCCCCAGTGCTTTCCTTGTCCACCAGCCACTTTCCTCCACTTGGCTTCTTTGCTGCAGCCTTCTACTCAAACTAAACAAATCCCTGTCTCATCCTAGATTTGTGCAGTTAAAATTTGTTTGCCTCCTAGGAAGTCTGCTACTGCTTGTCCTGAGGCAACCTTCTGATTGTGCAAACAGCGAGCTGGACTCAGGGCCACCTGGCTGAGCACTGGGTCCATCAAATCTGTGCAGAATCCTCTTCCACCCACCCAATACCTACCCGCTCACTCACCCACCCACCCAACTTCCCACCCATTCACCCACCTAACTGCCTACCCAGCACCCACTCACCTACCTGTTCACACAACCCATCTTCCTTCTCCTCGCCCTTTCTTGCCTACAACTAGCAGACAGGTGCTGACCCCCAGATGTCTACTCCAGGCTTAATGGCCGCTGCTGGGGACACAAGCAGAAATGAGTATCTGCTCTCAACAGGCTCTCATCAAGAGGGTGCCCCTCTCTCCCGGAGCCCTCAACCTATACCACTGCAGCAACGAGCAGCAGCAAGGGTTGTTCCCAGGCCATTATTCTGCTGCAACCGTGACCAAGCCCAGAACTATTGGATCTTCTGTACAAAAAGTTACCCTGCTGGGAAGCAGGTTACCACTCTAACTTCATTCACTCATCGAGTAGAGATTGGATGCTTCCTGTGTGTGCAGGGGGTGCTGGGGCCATAGAGGTTAGGAGGAGACAGGCCCAGGACTAAAGAAGCCCACGTTCCTACTCCAGTCCCAGGACATCAAGGCGTTCCATTGAGTTATTTTTTTCAAGCATTTTTTTCAAGACTCACCGAAGCAGAACTAATCACGTCCTCGGGTCTTACGGGTCACATCTGCCTAGTGAAACTTCTGATTTGAATGCATCAGAATAGTGTCCCCTGACATGTATGGCTTTTTGAGGGCCTGACATCTTTTTCATATTTGCTTTGTTTCCCAGCAACCAGCCCTTAGTCTGGAGCGTGTGGGCAGCTCTTACAGCGGGAGGAACACAGGTCACTCGGGGTCAGGTGGAGGGGAGAGGAGGAAGCAATATTTGCAGTGTGGTTAAGGCGTCAGTGTCTTAGAACTTTGCACTAGCTGGGCAACCTGAGACAAATGACACAATTTCTCTGTGCCTCAATTCCTTATTTGTAAAATGGGGATTACTAGCAGCCCCGCTCCACCAGCCCCATAGGACTGTCATGAGGATTCAAGGAGATAACAGACCCAGTGCACAGTGCTGGGCACGCGAGGCTGATTCCAGCTCCTTGGTTCTGGCCTGAAGATGTTATAGTCCAATGCTTGCTTCTCCCTTCCAGGCCCCAAGCTCCAGCCAATGGCCCAAATCCTCCAATGCACCCATCATCCATCATACCAAGAACCCCACGCTCTGGGGCTCAGGAATTCAGGGAGAACCAGGTGCTTTGGAGAGGAGCCTCTTAACCTCCGCTGTGTGTGTTTCTACACTATAGACTTAAAATGAATTCTGTTTTGAGAAAATTCAGGGTAAGGTGATGGGTTGTCCTTCAAAGACAGAAGTGAGACAGATCGCATGTAGCAAGAGGAAGGGCAAAAATTTTAGGGAAAATGTCCTGTGGGATGGACTGAGGTATCTGAGGGCTTTTGCCCACCAGATTTCTGTTCTCTTTCCATCTAGAAACAGCTCAGAACAGACCCCAAATACTCAGTTCCTGAATTCAAGTAACTTCTGCCCTGGGCTGTCCATGGCCCCCACCCACTAGTATGTGGCCCATTGTATGCAGCCCCTACCCTGCTGGAAACTTCTTCAGTCAGCACCACTGGGTGTATGGACAGAACAGAGTGACAGAGGTGAGTCAGGAATGCTAGAGTGGGAGAGGCTTCCTCAGACACTTCCCCTGCCCTTAACTCGCCACAGGCTCTGAACACCCTGGGGTGCCTGAGGACACGACTGGACGTGATTGACTCATGGTCCCAGGGGCCTGAGGACATGTGTGACTTGGGTGTCCACGCCCTCCTTGCTTATATCATCCCCCTCAGCTGCCATCTGTTTTTAGGGAAGGTCACAGTCATCATTCACTGAAATGGGGTGAACTTTGGACACCCTAAGGTCCTGGCTGGAGCCTTGCGCCCTCATCTGTAGAATGGATAGTGATTGTGAGATTAAGGACACATCCTGTTCTACATTTTTATAACCACATTGTCTTTGCCAGAGCGAGGCATGTTCTCACCTTGACTTTTCTCTGCTTAGAATTTACCAGCTAGGTCTGAAGTGTTGTGACCAATGCTGGGCAGCTTGAGAGAAGAGACGGTGTCCTAGTTGTCTGGTATTCCATCTCCTCCCTCACCCACCAGCGCTGGAACCCAAGTCTGAGGAGAAGGGGCAACGTGAAGGCCTGGATTTAAAGGCCTGGGCCTCTGGCACTCACCCTGTCCCTATGACCAGCCCTCAGTTTCCCACTCTTTTGATTTGAGTCTTCTTTACAGAATTTGGGCCACTTCTGCTTTCTCCTTATTGGGTTTTTCTGTCACAATTTCCTTTTCAGAATTTAACCTTCCACCAGACTACTCTTCATTTCTAAGAATTCTAGGGCCTTTCCCCAGCCACACTGTGTCTGAGGTCTCTTCAGACTGCTTACCTCGGGGTGATATGGCTGCCCACATTCCTCTTGCCCAGTGTCTCTCTTCCATGCAGCCTGGCCTCCCTCAATACCTTGGCGTGGCCCACTCGAGGGTCCCCGACAGCTCCGTTCCCAGATCCAGGACGTCCTCATTTCTCACCTCACTTCACTTCTGGCATCTGGCAGGGTGTGACATTGTTCATGTTCCTTTTCTCCAGGCAGTTCTTGCGGAACCTTCTCTTGCTTGTGCTTCCTTCTCTACCCTCGAGGCTCTTTCTCAATCTTCATGGGCTCCTACTCTGCTGCCAACATTGGCCTTTCTCTGGGACCTGCCCAGGCCCATCTTTCTCCTCCCTTTTCACATCCCCACCACCCCCAGTTCTCATCTACCACCTGTGCTGATGCTTCCAAGACTCATTTCCAATCTGGATTTTTCTCCAACTGCCCAAATGCCTGCAAGGACACCTCCTCCCAGAAGCCCCTCCACCCCCTCACCTTCCACGATAATCATCACAGCAGAGTCGTGATGACAGCCAAAGCATGTCTCTTCCTAATTCAACCTTCCCAGTAACAAAGGCGGTGCATACTTTTATTATCACCACCACTTTGCCGATGAGGGAACGGAGGCATAGAGAAGGGGAGAGAGTCCAAGCTCGTAAATGCCACATTTTTATTTTCTCAAAAACAAAGTTGGTCTTGGGCCTCCCTGGTGGCACAGGCGGTTGAGCGCAGTGCTGTGAAGCTGTCCGCAGCCTCTGCAGTGCCAGATCGATCCCCGCCAGCCTTGGAGCAATCCACATGGTGAGCAGACCTCTCCTGTCTCCCCCGCTGCTTCCCTCAGCAGGGTATTTCTTCAGTCTGCCTGGTCTGTTCCCCACTTTGTCTCTGGTGAATCCTCTCACCCTCCCATGCATCTGGCCTGTACCCCTGTTCTTGTACAAATAAAATAAATCTTTAAAAAAAAAAAAACAATGAAGTTGGCCTTGCCCACCCCTTCTCCCCTCCTCATTATTCTCTAATTGAAGGACCGTCACCATGGATGTCCATTTGTGACCAGTCTCCAGTTCACCTCCATGGCCATTAGCTACCTCACAGCCCTCATCATATCCCTACCGACTGATCTGTCTGCAGCTAGTTTCCAAAGAAAACATACCCCATAGGGCATCTTTGTAGTTTTCCAGAATTTACATTTGAAGATCAGCTTTGCCAGTTTCCTCCAGTGCTTTCTACTGCTCTCAGGATACAGCTCGCAACATACCTTAGGGGGTTTCCTGGATCTGGGGTGCACTTCCCCTTCCTCTCCTCCTCCACAGCCCTGACCTCATCTCTCACCACTTCTCATTCTGTTTCCCATCACGCGTTTCCCCAAAGGTTCTCCTGTCTCAGCTTTCTTCCACATTTGGCTATTCCTGCTGAAGTACTCTCTAATAGTCAGTTAGCTTCCAGACTCAGCTCAAGTGCTGCTGCATCCAGGAAGTCTTCCTGGAAGTCCTTACCCACCCAGCCTGAGGGCTCTGGGAGTGTCCCTCCATAGTGCCATCCCCTACCCCCAGATACTATGGGGTCAGTATATTGCCCCCTCATAGTACACTGTTTACACACTTACCTTCTCCGCAGACCCCAGGCTGAGTCTTTGTGGTTTGTGTTATCTCCCACTGCTAGCAAAGGGCGTGCATAATCAGCCTCAAATTTATACAACAAATCAGGCGTGTTGTATAAATGATGACTAAATGAGTGACAACCCACTCCATACATCTTCTAGATGTACGTATGCTTGATTCATTGGAACCTAGAGGTTTTCAGGTCTAAAGTGGGGGATTCTTGCCAGGGTCTCCATTAGGGCCCTGACCCCACCCTGACAACTGCTCCCTGCTCCCCAGGCTAACAGGTGGGGAGTTAAATATTTGCATCTACCCAAGCCGTAATTGGTGAAGCAAGAAAAATCCAAGGTTAGAAAGACAGCCGCTGATAGTTGGGTGTATGCTCTGGGAGGCCCTTGCATACTCCGCCCTCCACCCACCCCTGAGTCATGTCGACAACTTCCTCTCTGACCTCTAACTGCTTGACCACCTCTTTGAACACTTGGCTTAGGAGCTCAGAGGCCCTCACCTGGCCTTCCAGTCATGGCCAGTACCAGGACATCCCTCCTCCTGTTGATGGGTAAGCAGGGCTGAGGGTGTCGGGGTCCAGTAGGACAGAGCTGACAATGCACAATTTGGATTCAGACCAGAAGAAGGATTTGGAATCACAGAGGGTTTGGGACCTGGAGTTTGCCAGGGGAGAAGGGTTTGAGGAACTGCTCTGGGGAGAAATGGAGAGATACCAGAAGAGAGGTCAGTTGCCGGGACAATCCAGAGACTACTTAAGTAGGTGGAACAAGCTAACCTAGTGCTCTGTCCATAGCGCCCCATCCCCAGAACTTTGACCCCAGGCTTTCTTGGCAGGGTGGGTAAGGAGCTTTTTTGAGCTTGGGTATGGGTTTGTGGATATGGAGAACTCGACCTTTCCTGCAGGCCAGGGGGTGAAGAGCTGTCTCTGGACAGAGGAAGGGAGAACATTGGGTGTTGGGAGAATGGCCCCCAAGTGGGGGAGCTGAGCAGGAGGAAGGCCCTTCCCCAAGCCTCTTCCCACCCTCCTCTCCAGGCCTGGCTTCTTCTCTCTGCTTCAATTTGGACACGGACCAGCCAACAATCTTCTCCAAGGACAGTGCCGGGTTTGGACACAGCGTGGTCCAATATGCCAACTCAAGGTGAGGACCGGGTGCTCTGGGCAGCTCCTCTCCCTGTGCAGGCCGCTGTCTCTCCCACACCCAGACTTCCTTCCTGCGTGGTGTGGCAACTCCCCCAGGGCCCAGAGCAGCCGGACTGCAAGCCTGTGCCCCTGTGCCTCCACACTCTCGGCTGACACTCCCTGAGACTCGTTCAGTGCCCGGTCGTGCCCAGACCTCTACCAGCCTTATGAGCTAGGAAGCAATCATTCTATAAATATTGATTGGGCACTTTGGGGGCCTTGGGGGCCAGGCATCCACCAGAGAGGGGAACTGAAATTTCATGGATCTCCCCTTTTCAGATGAAGAAACGGAGGCTCAGTTTTCTTCTGAGAGGTGGCGCAGCTTTGCTCCGGGCCAGTGTGGCTCCAGGGGCCACTCTGTTAATTGCCAGGATCTTCGTCTCCCCCAGGGTAGTGGTCGGAGCCCCCAAGGAGATAAAGGCTGCCAACCAAACAGGGGGCCTCTACCAGTGTGACTACAGCTCGGGCACCTGCAACCCTGTCGCCCTGCAGGGTGAGTGCCACCCCTCCCTGAGGCCCAGGGAGGCCCCACACTGTGGGATACCCACTTCCCACCTTCAGCTCTGCCTGCAGATGGGCTCCCCGATCCCCTCCAGGCCTCCCTGCCCACCGCAGCTCTGTATCCACCCTACTCCCCCACCAGTTCCATCAAGGCCTGGAAGCCCCCTTCACCTCAGACCTCCTTGTCAACCAGAGTTGAGGTAACCCTCACCCAGATCTTACACAACCTCTTCTGTCCTGAGGGTGACCGTGCACATATTTGTCCCCCCAGTGCCCCCAGAGGCTGTGAACATGTCCCTGGGCCTGTCTCTGGCGGCTGCCACCACACCCCCTCAGTTGCTGGTGAGTTGCCTGGGGTCACAGGGGTGTCGTGAGGGGAGGAGTGGAGACCTGGGACTGCAGGGGCTGAGGTCTTGTGGCAGGTGAAGGTGCTGGGGGTGGGGGAGCCAGGATAGCCCCTCCCACCACCCCCTTCTGCCTCAGGCCTGCGGCCCCACGGTGCACCATGCCTGCAGCGAGAACATGCACTTGACAGGTTTCTGCTTCCAGTTCAGCTATCCCTCCTGGCAAGCCCAGAGGGTTCCTTCTGCCCTGCAGGGTGAGTGTTCAGGGCCCCGGGGCCTCCAAGGAACGCACACACATCTGACTGGGGGCGCAGTGGAGCCAGAGATACCCTTGCCAGAGTGGATAAAAAGGGATCTGAAAAAAAAACACCGCTTAGTATAGGGTTCCAAACATGGGCTGGGGAGTCGTGATCTGATTTCACACCTGCCTCATCAGTGCCCATTGCAGGACTTTCCCACGACCTTGCCCTCTCTGGCTCAGTTTCTCCATCTGTCTGATGGTGACGCCCCACACTGAGAGAAATGTAAGGTGACCATGGCCGGGGTTAGCCTAGAGCCCGGTACGCGTGAGGGCTGTTAATGCCAACTGCTGTTATTTTTAAAAAGAAGGGGGTTTATTTTTTACCCAATTTGCCCTGGGGCATAAACAATTGGTTTGTGTATGAGGCTGGGAAGGGGGGAAGAGAGTGCAACAGCCTGAGCAGAGTGCGTGTATGTGCGTGTGCACGTGTGTGTGTATGTGTGTCTAGGGGGTATGTGTGTCTCAGCGTGCATGCGTATGGCCTCCTTGGTGCTGAAGGGGATGGATGGTCAGGAGGTGAGTGAGTTTTTCAGACCTTGGTTTCCCTTTCACACGTGGCCCTTGGGGAGACTAATACCTGGCCACTGAATGGGGTGCTCTTTTGGCACCTCCTGGGCAGTAGAATTCACCCACAGGCACCTGGACTCGTACCAGAACTCTATTCTCTCTGGGATGAGTCTTCTGGGGCAGAAATGGGAAGCTGGGAGTTAGGGGTGAAATGGGATCTCTGCTCTGAGAACGGGGAGAGTCTCCTCTTCTGAGACCATCCGGCAGGGGAGTGGGGGGCCATCTTTATTCTGAGAAGAGCACAGGGGCCGCTTTGTGGCTATTGTCTGGGGGGACATTACAAATATTTAACAAAACTAGAGTTTGGCACTGGCCAGTGAGAACAGACACTGACGAAGGGCTAGGGCAGCGTCTTTCCATTGCTGGATCATGGGGGTGATGGGGGTACGGGGCTCAGGGGGAAATGCTGGACAGCTGAGGAGCCCCTAGATTCTAGAGGGAACCCTTCTGGGCTGGCTGTCCCACGTGAGCAGCTGAATCACAGATGTAGCCCCTCTAGAGACCGAAGGGCCCTGTTCCAGAGATGTTAGGCCTGGGCGGGTGAGGTCTGGGGGCCCCGAGGCTGAGGTCTTGGGCTCTGGGAGTGTCCCTCCATGGCGCCATCCCCTGCCCCCAGAGTGCCCGAAGCGGGAGCAGGACATCGTGTTCCTGATCGACGGCTCAGGCAGCATCGAGCCCAGAGACTTTCAAAAGATGAAGAACTTTGTGACGACTATGCTGAGACAGTTCCCCAGACCTAAGACCCAGGTGTGTCCTCCAGGCGGGAAGGGAAGTCTGCGGGCTGCTGGCCAGGCCTGGGGGAGGGGGTGGGACTCTGGTGAAGCAGCCTCTCCACCCTATGCCCTTCTCCAGTTCTCTCTTATGCAGTTCTCCAACCAGTTCGAGGAGCACTTCACCTTCAGGAAATTCATGGCCAGCCCAGACCCGCTACGCCTGATGGATTCAGTCAGACAGCTAGGCGGGACCACTCATACCGCCTCGGCCATCCGGAGAGTCACGTGCGTCCTGACTTCTCCGGGTCCTTCTCCAAAGCCTTGTCCTTCCTTTGGGCCTGTCTCCATGAAAAAGGGATTAATGGGGAGGAGGGACTGACATTCAACCTCTGGTCTGCTCACCAAGTGGGGGCCAGTGGAACAAGGGCCCACAGGGCAGGGGGACTCTGCCTCATCACAAAGGCAGCAGGGGCCGTGGGCAGCTCTGTTCACAGGCTCTGGACTCTCTTCTTCCCTGACAGGAACAGGCTGTTCAGTGCTTCAGTGGGGGCCCGGAAGGATGCCTCCAAGATCCTCATAGTCATCACTGACGGGGAGAAATTTAAAGATCCCCTGGATTACCCTCAGGTGATCCCCAGAGCCGAGGAGCTGGGCATCATCCGCTACGCCGTTGGGGTAAGATGTGGGGGTGTCCATACAGCTGTCTGCCCTGCTTCCTCTTAAGACAGGTTCGCACTCAGCTCCCTCAGTTTCTCCCGCCTTCAAGATGAAAACTATTCCAGCCCAAAGCAGCCGGGATCCCTTCCCAGCATCCCTCCTCGGTGCTGTCTGAGTCTCCTCTTCTTGGCCTACACACAGTGGGAGGCCTTGGCCCTCGCCCTGGGCCACAGCCTCAGCCCCGCCATGTGGCAGGCTCACATGTGCAGGTATCAGCCCTGTCCTGGGCTTTGCAGGTGGGCGAGGCTTTTCAGAACAGAAGGTCCCGCAGAGAACTAGAAGCCATTGCATCGAAGCCCTCCAGTGAACACATATTTCAAGTGGATAATTTTGATGCTTTGAGAGACATTCAAAACCAGCTGCAAGAGAAGATCTTTGCCATTGAGGGTAAGTCCACGATGGAACGACTGGCTTCAGAAACCCTCACCCGTAAGTGCTTTTCCTCCTTGACCTTGGACACCCGCGTCACTGGCCCCCAGCAGTCAACATTAGAGCCTCCTGGGGGTCAGGTGTCCTTCTCAGCCTGGCTGCGCCGGTCTCTCCCCTGGAAGCCCAGTGTCACGTCTCCCCCCAGGAACGCAGACCACGAGCAGTAGCTCCTTCGAATTGGAGATGTCCCAGGAGGGCTTCAGCGCCGTGTTCATGTCTGTGAGTGGGGCGCCTTTGGGATCACTGACATAGGAGTGGAGGAGAGGCAGGAGGGAAAGAAAGTGGGTGTTAGAGGAGTGGAGGCGCCGCCGGCATCTCTTTGGCACTGGCTTCTGCTTCTCACTCCCACCCGCTCAGCCCTGGCATCCTTCCCTCCCAGGATGGACCCGTTCTGGGGGCCGTGGGGAGCTTCAGCTGGTCTGGAGGTGCCTTCCTCTACTCCAAGGGCATGAGTCCCACCTTCATCAACATGTCTCAGGAGAACGTGGACATGAGGGACTCTTACCTGGGTGAGGAAAGGCCAGGCCGGGGCCCAGGTGGGAGCCGAGCTGCTTGGCACGAAGCCCAGGGGTGGGCGGGGGGAGCCTTTGTGATGAGGCCCGGCCCCCCTCAGGTTACTCCACTGAGCTGGTCCTTTGGAAGGGGGTACAGAGCCTGCTCCTGGGGGCCCCCCGCCATCAGCACACCGGGAAGGTCGTCCTCTTCACCCAAGCGTCAGGGCGATGGAGGCCAGAGGCCAACGTCGCAGGGACACAGGTTGGGCGTGGAGGGAGCCTGAGTGTGGGCAGCGTCTCCAGGGGCAGAGAGGGAGGAGATAAAGGGGTCCTGGGGTCGGGGGGGGGCAGGAGGCAGGGGAGAGGTGGGGCCTGTCCCAGAGGGGTGGCTCTGGCAGGGACAGGCAGGACGACTTCAGGCTCCTCCCCCACCAGATCGGCTCCTACTTCGGGGCCTCCCTGTGCTCTGTGGACGTGGATGCAGATGGAAGCACAGACCTGGTCCTCGTCGGGGCCCCCCATTACTATGAGCAGACGCGGGGAGGCCAGGTGTCCGTGTGCCCCATACCCCCGGGGGTGAGTGGCTGATGGGGCCTGGGCGGGTGGGGTCTGGTGGGGTGAGGGGTCGCCCAGGTTGGGCCTGGCACTGGTTTGTTCCGCAGAGGACCAGCTGGCAGTGTGTGGCTGTCCTCCGTGGGGAGCAGGGCCACCCCTGGGCGCGCTTTGGGGCAGCCCTGACGGTGCTGGGGGATGTGAATGGGGACCAGCTGACGGATGTGGCCATCGGGGCTCCGGGAGAGCAGGAGAACCGGGGCGCTGTCTACCTGTTTCATGGAACCTCAGAACAGGGCATCAGCACCTCCCACAGCCAGGTGAGGCGAGTCACAGATTCTGTTGCCATAACAATCTCCTCCTTGCTTCTTCCTGTATTTTACGCTGCCATCTGGAAAATTGCCTTTTTCCTCATCTTATCTCCTTCAATAAAGGAAATCCTAGCAAAGCAGGCAGCAAGCATAATGTGGAAACACTGACTGGAAAGTACCCTACCGATTGGCTCCTATTTCGGGGTTTCCCTGTGCTGGTGGACATGGACTTGATACTTGAGTAGGCGCTCCACCCTGGCCTTTAAATCCTCCAGGAGCTCTCCAAGGCCCATAGGCCAGTCATTAGCAAGTCCATTTTACAGATGAGATGTGGGGCATGGAGATCAGTGACTTGGCTCATCCAAGGTTTAGAGTGAATCAGGAGTGGTGAGGAGCAGGTTCCAATCTCGCTGGTAACACAGGGCCCTGTCTCCTGCTGGCTCCCTGTCGCCAATCAGTTAGGTCTGGCTGCCATAGTCTGCTGTCCATTCCACCTGCGTGATGCTCTAGGACGCTGTTCCCTCCTGCCAGTAATGCTGCCAGATGCCCATCCAGGCAGGAGCCCTTTACCTGCCAGGCCCGGGAGGACGGCTGACCTGGCCCAAAGTCCAGGAAACCCCAATTAGAACACAGGTAAAGTTTCTGAACCAGCACTTCTCTGGAGATGACAGTCAAAGGACCAATAGGCACATGAAATGGATGCGCCAGGAGATGACAATGAGCCGCCACGCTCCCCGGGAGCACCGGGACCACAGGGCAGAAAATGCCAAGTGTTGCTGAGGATGTGGAGAACTTGGCGTGACTTAACAGCCTGGCAGTTCCTCAGGCTGTTAAGCAGAGTCACGGTGGGGCCAGCAATTCCACTCCTAGGTGTGCACCCAAGAGCACTGAGCACAGATGTCCTCCTGCAAAGCTCGCCACAAATGTTCCCTGCCGCGTTATTCATAAAAGCCAAAACATCTCAAATGCCCATCAGCTGGTGAATAGATGAGTAAATGTTATCTGTCCATACCACAGCATTCAATTCACCATAGCTGGAATAAAACACTAATACGTGCTACCACGTGGCTGAAACTGGAAAATTTGCTGAGGGAGAGAAAAGCACAAAAAAACACACATTGTCTGAGTCCATTTATAGCAAAGGTCTAGAAATGGTAAACCCATAGGCACAGAAAGAAGATTAATGGTTGCTGGAGGTTGGGGGGTCATGAAGGACATGGAGGTGACTGCTAAGGCGTGTGGGATTTCTTTTTTGAGATGAGAATGTTGTACAATTTGGTGACGATGCTAAAAACCACTGGGTTGTGTCCTTTAAAATGTCTCCCATCTCCCTCCCTCCTGGTCCTCTTGTTGCTTGTTTCCAACTTGTTCCCCTCACCCCTGGCCTGACTCCCTTCCCCTCTCGGGCAGCGGATCGCAGGCTCCCAGTTCCCTCTCAGGCTCCAGTACTTTGGGCAGTCGCTGAGCGGGGGCCAGGACCTCACCATGGACGGGCTGGTGGACCTGGCCGTGGGGGCCCAGGGGCACGCGCTGCTGCTCAGGTGAGAACAGCCTTTCTCGGCCACACCCCAGGCAGGCCTAGCTGGGCAGGGGATGCCAGCGTCCCCACCCTCATCCCAGGTTGTCCTCCTGGGCCCGAAAGCCTGTCCTCAGCTCGGTGTTCCGCCCGCAGGACCAGGCCTGTGCTCAGGATGCAGGTGCGCATGCATTTCACGCCTTCAGAGGTCTCCAGGGCTGTGTTCGAATGTCAAGAGCCGGCAGCCCGCGACCGGGAACTAAGTGGCGCCACCATCTGCCTGCGAATTTATAAAATCTCCAAGCATCGGTGGGGTGAGTCCTCTCCCATCAGACGCAAGGCCCCTGACCCCTGCCCAGGGCTCCGTCTCACACCTTGCCCGTTGCTCACCAAAGGAGTTCCTGGCCTGCTCAATCCCCCCACCTGCTTGGTTCCCCTATAGGTGACCTCCAGAGTTCTGTGACCCTTGTCCTGACCCTCGACCCCGGCCGCCTGAGTCCCCGTGCAGTCTTTGAACAGACAAAGACCCGGAATCTGACCCTCGTCCGGAGCCTGGGACTGAGCGAGCATTGTGAGGCTGTGAAGTTGCTGCTTCCGGTGAGGCGGCCTCAGGATGGAGGCGATTCTGAGGCGGCAGTGGACCGGGCAGGGGAAGATGGGGGAGGGTGCCGGCCCTCACCATGGCACCCCAGGATAGCACCTGGCGCAGGAGGTGCTCACCAGGAGTTAGCTAAGAGAGAGTGAGTGAGAGAGAGGGAGAGAGAGGAGGGATAGACTGCACCTGCCTTTCTTCTCTGGAGCCACCCCTGTCAGGATCTGTCCTGGGTGCCGGGGACGCAGCAGTGGACACAACAGTGGTGCCCACAGGGAGCTCTGGGAGCCTGAGACTCAAGTCCCTAGATAACAGATGTCAGGGGGTGGTGAATTCTCTAAAGAAAGACCAAGCCAGAGAGGAGAGCAGAGGGTTGGGAGGCCTCTTGGAACAGGTGAAGTGGGAGAGAAGCAGCCAGAGTGGGGCAGCGTGGGGGCTGGGCTCATGCAGGACCCCTAGCAGTGAGCGCTGCTGGAGCAGGTGCCCACTTCTCGAGGCGGCAGGATTCCAGCAGGGACTGGGAAGGTGTCCCTTAGCTACCTGCTCGCTTTGATGTCCTCTGTCCTCTAGACCTGTGTGGAAGACGCAGTGAGCCCCATCATCTTGCGTCTCAACTTTTCCCTGGTGGGCAAGCCCATTCCTTCCTCCGGGAACCTCCGGCCAATGCTCGCTGCGGGCGAGCAGAGATACTTCATGGCCTCCGTGAGTCCTGGTGCTAGGATCTTCCCAAGGGGGTGGAGGGGCAGGCTCCAGAACTTGGAGAAACCCTTCTTTGCCTTCCCTCTCAGCTCCCCTTTGAGAAGAACTGTGGGGCTGACCATGTGTGCCAGGATGACCTTGGCATCTCCTTTGACTTCCCAGGGTGAGTTTCCAGCCCCTTGGACCTCCCCTGGCCCCCAGACCCCAACCTGGACCCTACCTCTCCCTAGCATTTCTACCTTGTGCTCAGAAACCAGACCTCCTGCCCCCGTGTCTCCTCCAGATCCCTACTCTGTGTCCCACCACCAGACCTCACCCTAGTCCCAGAATCACCTGCTCTCTACCCCAACTTGTAGCTTGGACAACCTATTGGTGGGAAGCAACCTGGACCTAAACATGAGTGTAAGAGTGTGGAATGATGGCGAGGACTCATATGGAACCACAGCCACCTTCACCTACCCAGCAGGGCTGTCTTATCGGCGCGTGACATGGGACCAGGTATTCTCTCTGGGGAAGGAAGCCACTGACTCCTGTCCTGGGTTCATTCTCAGGCTGGAGCTTCCATTGCTTCCCTGTATACCATCCACATCTGGCTGGGTGAGGCGGTACCGTCCACGGCTGGCTGGGTGAGGTTGTACTGTCCATGGCTGACTGGATGTAGTTACACTAGCTGGGTCTTGTCTCACTCATGTTATGTTTATCTCTGGCCATTGCATCTTAAGGACTTTTGCCAATCAGGAATGACTTCCCAGGAGGCTGTTCATGTGAGAGAGAGGGACCTGCCTTAAATTTTTTTATAGCCCATATTCCTTTCTTAAAGGAAAACACATCTTGGCCTTCAAATAATTTTTAAAAACTGTTCAGTGAGAGGAGTTGATCTTATTGGTTACACCACCAGACTAGGGCTTGGTACACTTTTTTTTTATAAAGGGCTTGATGGCAACTACTTCAGCTTCCAGGGCCACGTGGTGAATCACAGCTGCTCACCCGCCTTTATCCACCTGTCCTTGCCTAGGTCCAGCTGCAGTCGCGCTCCCTGCGCCTGACATGTGACAGCACCCCAGCTGGGAGCCAGGACGCCTGGCTCACCCGCTGCAGCCTCAACCACATCATCTTCCGTGAGGGCGCCCAGGTCAGCCTGGCTTCCACCCACTCCCAACACCCCAACCCCACCCTGTTTCACCCCACAGTGACCCCATTCCTTCTTGCTGCTCCTTCCTCAGATTACCTTCACAGTCACCTTTGACGTCTCCCCTAAAGCCACGCTGGGAGACCACCTTCTGCTGACCGCAAATGTGAGCAGGTGCGCTGGGCCAGGTCCAGGGACAGCACCCCCACCCCGTCTCCTCCCCTGAGGCCCTTGCCAATGAGGCTCTTCCTCTTTACCCAGTGAAAATAACAGCCCCCAGACCAGCAAGACCACCTTCCAGAAGGCGCTTCCGGTGAAGTATGCTGTCTCCACTGTCATCAACAGGTACCACATGATGAGCTCGAAAGAGTTCTTCGGAACTGTGATGGGGCTGGGGGAGGTTCCATTTCCCTGCAGCAGCTGAATATCTGGGATGTTTTGATTTCATTGCCAGGCTTTCAGCTGGCAAATGACACTGCTAAAACACCTGCTAAACATCAGTGTTTATTATGGGCTACTATGATAATAATAACTGATATTACCATGCATCCTTCTAACTTTAGTGGAAGTTACAGTCCTCAGAAGGCTTTCTCAAAAGGTCCAAGATTATCCCTCAGTTCCCTAAGAGATACGAGACCTTCCCCAGTCCTAAGGCTCTTAGTGCTTTGTTGGGAAATGAGGGTACCCTGATCCAAGGCAGAATCTCACCAAGGGGCTTTCTGTGGCTGTACCCTGAGTCTATGTAAGATTCCCACAGAGGGCCTCCCTGATGGCACAAGGGGTTAAGATGCAGCACTTAGTACTATGAAGCTATCCACATCCACTGCAGCACAAGTTCGATCCCCAGCCAGGGAGGTGACCCACATGGCGCAGCAGACCTCTCCTGTCTTGCCTGCTGCTCCCTTCAGTGGTGTATTTTCAGTCAGTCTGCCTGTTCTGTTCCCCACTCTGTCTCTGGTGAATCCTCTCACCTCCCCCCTGCATCTCTGGCCTGCACCCCAGCTCTTGTATGCATAAATAAATAAATCTTAAAAAAAAAAAGATTCCTAGGGGGCCAGGGCCTCAACTGAAGGCCCTGTGGTGTTGGCTTGGCTCCTGTGAACTGGCTTGTTGGATGGTAAATTAAGCTTTTCACACCTCCTTGCAGGAAACCCACAGGCAGGATGCACCCCGTGTAGGTGTAAGTGGCTCAGTGGCCCAGCTGTACTCTGCACGCGTGACTCTGTGGGTGGGATATTTGCAGGGCCCTCCAGGATGAAGTTGGGACATTTTGGGGGATCCCTTTGCAGAGGAGGGATGAAACTTCAAATAAAAGTGGTGGTTTGGGATTTGGGACTGCAGACAAAGGACAGGTCCCCAGGGAGTGGGGTGGGAAGGTGGGTGGGCAGAGGTGAGACCTGCCGTCCCAGGGAGGGGCTGGGCTGGCTGCTGTGTCTCCAGGCACAGAGCTGAGCAGGCCTCAGAGGCTATTAGGCTGCCACTCAATGAAGTTGGGCACTCTCACCGAAAAGCCTCAGGCCCAGAAAAACTAAGGAGACAGGCAAGAAGGGCCCTCAGCGAAGGGCTGTGAGAGGCCAGAGAGGGGCAGTAAGCATTTGTCCACAGCATCAGCCTGAGTCTCCCCCACACTCTGCCTTGTCCCACATGCCCACCCAGCCTCCTCCATGCTGTGAAAGCCTGAAAGGGAAACTGAGATACAGGCCCGGCCCCCGCTTCCCCTATAGTCAGCAGCACAGCTCTCAGTTCCTTCCACTGCACCCCCGCCGGCCCCCCTTGGCGTGTCTGTGGGCCGTCTCTATAGGAACCTTGCACCAAACTTGAAACCTAACCGTTCTCCCTAAACTCTTCTACCCTCAAGGGAGCTACCGACCTCATCTGAGGCCACCCCACAGCCCTACCGTCCACCTGTCCTTCAGAGGCAGCCAGAGCCTCCTCGGGAGGTCCCCGTGGACCTTCCCAGCCATCCCCGCCTCTTCTCTCTGCAGCCATGAACACTCCACCAAGTATCTCAACTTCTCGGCCTCAGAGGAGGAGAAAAGCAGCATAGTCCAGCACAGATACGAGGCAAGTCTGGGTGGTGACTCTGGACGTTGGTCTGGAGTCGAGGTTAAGGAGCAGGTGGGGTTTTGGCTTGGGCTTGGCCCTCAGTGCCTCTGTGCAGGTGAAAAATCTGGGACACAGGGACCTACCCATCAGCGTGAACTTCTGGGCGCCTGTGGAGCTGAACCGCGTGGCCGTGTGGACTGGCATGGAAGTCGTGCACGCCCAGGTACTCAAGGACTGTGTGTGGCTCCTCTCTAATGTCCTTTACTGGGCTCCCTGCGGCCCTCACGAATCCCTGCTGAGATGTCTGTGCGCCCCGGGTCTTTTCCTAGAATCCGTCCATTCAGTGCTCTTCGGAGAGAGCAGCGCCCGCGGTGGCTGACTTCCGGAGCCACATGCAGAAGAATCCCGTGCTGGTGAGGAGGGCTCGGGGCTGGCCCCACTGGAAGCCACACATCAGAGGGATTTAATTCGGGAATCCATGTCACATTCAGATCACACCTGCTTGACAGCCTCCCCCACCCAAATGTGCTGTTCCCTTCTAGCCACACAGGCCAGTCAGTCTGCCTATACAGACTTGCTTCCTGCAAGTTCGCCTCTCCCCGGCCTGATGCTGTCTCTCTGTCCCTAGGACTGCTCCGTCGCTGACTGCCTGAGGTTCCGCTGTGATGTCCCCTCCTTTGGCGTCCAGGAGGAGCTTGACTTCATCCTGAAGGGCAACCTCAGCTTTGGCTGGGTCAGCCAGGTGTGTGCCCAACAGCACAGCCCCTCCCCCGCTTCAGGTGGCACCGCCTGTGCCTGTGCCCATCCTCGTGCTGAGACACTTCTCCCATGCAAGCATCCGCGGGGTCAGCATCCCCAGCTCTGCCCTCTCCTTGCAGACTCAGCAGAAGAAGTTTCAGCTTGTGAGTAGGGCTGAAATCCTGTTCAACGGGTCCACGTATTCCCAGTTCCCAGGACAGGAGGCATTTCTGAGAGCCCAGGTAGGGGCTGTGTGGCCAGGCAGGTGGGATGGCTCCTGACGCAGAGTCCGTGATGCTCACTGGGGGCCCCCAGGGTGGCAGGGGTAGGACGAAAGGGCCCTGGGCGGCACATGAGTGTTTCTGTATCTCACCTCTGGAAGCAGGGCTTGGGGAAGGTGGGGAAGGAGTCAAAGGCTGGGGAACCTGGGGACAGTCTGGGACAGGAAGAGGCCTCCTGACGGGACCACCTCTACTCCAGGTGGAGATGGTGCTGGAAGAGTATGTGATCTACAACCCCATCCCCCTTGTCGTGGGCAGCTCTGTGGGAGGACTGCTGCTGCTGGCTGTCATCACAGCCGTGCTCTACAAGGTGAGCGTGTTCATCCTGCTCCTGACACCACCGGCATTTTATCCCACTTGTGACAGCATGAGAAAGACTCAAAACAAAAAAAGGGAAAAAACTCACCTTGGAGCCAGGCACCCATTCTTCTTGGTCCCTGTACTTGAGAGATCCCCTCCTACCTACGAATTACAAGTCTCCATCTGCCCCCCATGTTTGCGCCTTCTCTGAGTTTTGGGTGTCCGCTCAGCTCTCACCCTGTCCACCCCACTCTCATCCACCTCTTATGTGTTTCCTTGGACTGCAAGTCATCTCATGATAGTGCAGCCCTGGATTTGCAGTTAGCACCGCCACTGCAGGGCCTTGTCAGGGCTGGGTTTAGGTTGCTCGTTCTGAAGGTGATTTTCCAGCTCTCGGAGTGGGGGTGAAGTCTACAGGACGCACTGTATACAGGTCCTGATACAGTTCCAGAAACAGCGATCCCTCCTCCCAAACCCAGGTCATCTCTTTCCTCTTCCCCTTCCTGATTTTCTTCTCCTTCTGGCCAACAGGTTGGCTTCTTCAAACGTCAGTACAAGGATATGATGGAGGAAGCAAATGGACAAACTCTCCCAGAAACTGAACAAGCCCAATAAGAAACTACCTCCTATTCTCCTTCAGTTCTGCTGTCCCCTCCCCATTTTTTTAAAGATTTATTTATTTATGCATACAATAACTGGGGTATAGGCCAGAGGTGGGGAGGGTGAGAGGATTCACTGGAGACAGAGTGGGGAACAGAACAGGCAGATTGATCAAAGTACACCGCTGAGGGGAGCAGCGGGCGAGACAGGAGAGGTCTGTGACTGTATTGGGAAATATGTCAAAGGTTTAAAATGAAAGGTTTTTGAGGATATGAGTTCTGAATGCTGCCTCTCATGGTGTTCCCTAACTGTGGTGGACATTAGTAGAGGAAGGTGTAAATTCTGGGGTGAGTGACTGTGAATCAAAAAATTAACACCTATCTAGAAAGCGTTATACCATCTGAAAGTTATTGGGTCAGCTATGTATTCACACCTAGGCTGTTGTCCACTATAAAACTGCCAAATATCTAATGGGGGTGGGGGGCGGGGAGGGGAGGGATTGGGGTCAAAATAAGGGGGTTGCAATTATATGGGGAATATAAAAATAAAATTTATTAAAAAAAAAAAAACCTGCCAATAACGACTGAAGCTAAAAGCCTTTGTGCCATTTTCAAAGCAGAAACAAAGCAACAGAGATTATTTATAACAACTACACACATATCACTTTCCTATCTAAATGGATTGATTTTATGATTAATTACAGAGAAGACAGCAAAACTCCAGTGGCATAAGTCAAAATGTTCTTACAGCAGCAGGTCACATACTCTCCAGCAGGCTTATAAACCAGCAGTGAGGTTAATGTCTATGGCAGAAAGTGACTTGTGTGACGGGAGACCAGTAACAGGAAGCACAAGGACATTTTCAAAGCCTTCCTTATAAGACAAGCAGAGGTAGTTGTTGGTTAATTCAGTGGTTCAGCAATGACATGAAGATGCATCTTCTTTATGCTGCCTTTGTCCTTAGACCGTTCCCTCATTGCTGCAAGATGGCTGCCATAGCTCCAGCCATCTAGTCCTTACAAAACAGTGCCCAAAGCAAGAAGGGCAGTTTCTTCCCACCTCTTCAGAAATCAGGGAGCTATACATTTGTATACCTTTTCTGTAGATTCTCAGATTCCCCCTTAGGTCTTAGTGACCAAGGATGCATTACATTCTACCCCCTGACGTGAGAAAGTGAGACTTTTACAGACTTAATGATACAGGTAACCATTCCAGCCAGGAAGAAGGGCTAGGGCTGCTGCAGGTATAGGACGACCCACAGCGTGTGGCAAATGTTATGCTTGAAGAATAAGTTGTGGGTAAAATTCACTTATGATGGAACAGCTTGGACATTGTTTAAAGTGGGAAAGCAATGACTAAGCCCTGTGTGGGGTGTCAGCATGTCGCCCCACGTCTGAATCAAGTTCCTGGTGTGGGATGTCTGACTCAGCCCTCAGCTTCTGTGAGCATGATGAATTTTCATTTATCACTGATAACCCAAGTAACAGAAAACAAGATTGGATTGTTTGTGATGAGTGTTCATCCCATGAGTGGTGTAGAGGTAGAGGGAGGGGTCACTGCGGGCCAGAGGATGGAGTGGTGACCCCACATACCTCAGCCTGGATTCAACTCCAAAGGAAAAATAGATATGAAGGAAACTGCTTTTCATACTAAAATAACATCAGGAAACTTTTTAATTTCAATTGTGGTAAGATACACATGATATAAAATTACTATGTTTAAGTGGCCAGTTCAGGGATGTCAAGTACATTCCATTGTGCAGCTGTCACTGTCATTGGGCCCACGAACACTTTGATCTTCCTAAACTGAACCTCTCTATCCACTAAACAGCAAACTGTGCCCCTTGCCCCCAACCCTGGCGGCCATCACTCTCCTGTCTGTCTCTGTAACTTTGACTGTTCTTGGCACCTCACACAAGTGGATCCTAACCGTGTTCATCTTTTGTGACTGGCTTCTTTCCCTCAGTCTACTGTCCTCAAGATCATCACCTTGTAGGTCCTCCCCTGGTGGCGCAGGCGGTTGAGCGTCGCACTGTGAAGCTGCCCGCAGCCTCTGCAGCGTGGGTTCCATCCTGGCCGGCCACCCGGCCGGCGAGGATCCCACATGGCACAGCAGACCTCTCCTGTTGCGCCCACTGCTCCCCTCAGGAGTGTATTTCGTCAGTCTGCCTGTTCTGCTCCCCACTCTGTCTCTGGTGAGTCCTCTCACCCTCCCACGCATCTGGCCTGTACCCCGGTTCTTGTATAAATAAATAAATAAATAAATCTTTAAAAAAAAAAAGATCATCACCTTGTAGAACGTGTAAGCATTTCCTCCCTTTTTAGGCAGAATGATGGTCCGTTATGGTGGGTTATGTACACATCACACATGGATGTGGTCTTATCAGTGTGTTATACACACACATGCATATATTCTAATTTTCCTGTATCCTTGCCAACACTTAACATTTTCTATCTTTTATTTTTTAGATAGTATCTACCCTACTGTGTATGAGTTCTTGATTTGAATTTCCTTGGTGATTAGCAAAGAGCCTCTTTTCATGCGTGTATTAGTCATTTGTATATCTTTGGAGAAATGTGTATTCAAGCCCTTTGCCCATTTTTCACTTGGGTTTTTGTTGTTGCTGAGTAGTAGGAATCCTTTATGTATTCTAGAGATTAACCCCTTACCAGATACATCGTTTGCAAGGTTTTTTTCCCATTCTTTACACTCTAGTTATTGTGACACGTGAATTTGTTTTGATCTGGTTCCATTTATCTACTTTCTCTTTTATTTCCTTTTTGTGTGTGTGCACATCATATGCATGACATTATTGCCAAATCCAACATCATGACGCTTTCCCCCTATTTTTTCTTCTAAGGATTTTGTGTTTTAGCTCTTACATGTAGATTTTTTGCAAGGTTTTCTCAAGCTCACCCCACTTTTGCACCCCCCCTTTCTCACTTCCTCATCCTCAGGCAAACACAGATCTTTCTGTCCTTGTCCATTACTCTCATTTTGAAGATTTTATATACAAGGAATCATACCGTGTCCATTCTCCCTGGTTAGACTCCTTTCACTCGGCAGAATTGCTTTGAGATTCACCCCTCAGCCCTTAGGAATTCTGACACAAAGGCTATAAAGCCAGTTCTGATTTCTTGCTCAGGCGCCATCCCTGCTTCCCACTCCTGCGGTCACAGCCTCATTGCTATTGTTAGGGGGAAAAGGCTGTCCTAAAGCTAATTCCATGCAGGCTTTGTGGACTCCACCCCCACCCCAGGCCAAAGCCAAAGACACTGGAAACTCCAAATCCCATCACCACCAAAGGGAAGGTGGCTGGGACCTGAGGGTGGGGTTAAGCAGACAGGTTGGGATAAAGCCAGACACGTGGGCTTAGAGGGCCCCTCATTTTGGCTCCCCGCCAGCTCCCAGCATTCGGCCAGCTCGGAGAGTGCCTTTGGGTTTCCAGGTCGGCGGATCGGGTAGGACGCATTCAAGACTTTATTTCCCTATTTTCTCCCTGAGTTGTACATTTTCCTTATTTCCTTTTCCCTTGTAAATAAACCTTTTATTAACCTTTTGTGTGTGCCTGTAGTGGAGTATTCATAAGTCCCTTGTAAGCGCGCGGGTGAGGACCCACAGCCAGGAACCCGTTCAATATCGGGGCTGCCCTATAACAGCATGACCACATTATGAAGTAGGAGAAAGAGAAAAAAAGTGGAAGTGATGTCAGCCCCCTCCTTCTCCGCTCTTCCTTAGATCCACCAGAAACCAGTCATCAGCCTGGGGGGACCCTCCTTTGGCCCCACTCCTGCTCTGTGAGCACACACAGGTGAGCCTGCCATGACTATTCCCCCACTTCAGACTCCCAGGGTTTTGGTCGCCTGCTCAGGTCTCCATCACACTAGCACCCCAGGAGGGTGTCTTGCTGCCACCCAGACACGATGGGCTGTGAAGTGAGTCCTGGGTCTGAAGAAGTGACAGGCCGCCCGCTGATCGGTGTGGCACTCCTGAGCCGGTCTTTGATGGTGCTCTGCACGTTCGCACTTGCCCCAGGGAAGCAGAGCCAGGAAGCAGAGCCAGGCCAGCATTGGCGTCTCTTCCTGTCAGTGCCTGCTGGCCTCCCCCAGAGTCACCCTCTGTAATCAGGTTCCTCCCACTAGGGAGTCTGACACTGGCCCCCTGAGGGCCCTGTATCTCTTGTTGGCAGAACAGCTTTCAGTGCCATTTTGTGGCTGGGAGCGTGCAAGAGGACTCATCGAGATCAGCCTGCGTCGTCTGCATTGCCACAGTGCTCCCGTGCCCGCTCATTTTATGGACCCTGGTGACCAGTCGGGCTCACGGGGACATCTGCTTGACTCCAGACACTTTCTAAACCTGAAAGGGGGTCTGATGGGCACCAACATGCCTCCTGTTAATGCTGTCTTCTCATTTCCATAGGGCTGTGCCCTGTGGCCATCCCTGTAATAGGCCAGGTTTCCATCGTCCTTCTGCCTGACCGAATGGCCAGGTCACTGGCCACTGCCCTTGAGTCAGTAAAATCCCTAACACCTGGGCTTTTTCCACCTTCAATGATTTCATCACTGCTGGGAAAACAGCGCACCATTCAGCACGCCAGGCGGCTGTTTTTACCTTCTTAAATCAGAGGGGTGGCTTTCCAACGAAAATATTGTCCACATGCCTGGAACTTCGGTCCACAGACCAAACAGCTCTTTGCCCAGGGCTGTTAATGGGCACTGACCCAGCGGCAGGGGACTCCAGCAGCTCCTCACACTGCTGCAGAGTCAGTCCCAGAGCAAGAGGCGCCCTGCTCTTACGTGTTTCCTCCTTGCATTCTCCCAATAACAAGAGCTGCATGCGCCATTTCCTTTTCATTTTGAAACTCTCCGGGTGCCAACAGCTGCATTACTAAAGCCTTTCAATTCCCAAGTGTTCATAGGCTTTTTTTTTTTTAAAGATTTCATTTTATTTATACAAGAACTGGGGTACAGGCCAGATGTGTGGGAGGGTGAGAGGATTCACCACAGTCAGAGTGGGGAACAGAGCAGACAGACTGATAAAATACACTGCTGAGGGGAGCAGCGGGCGAGACAGGAGAGATCTGCTCGCCATGTGGGTTGCTCCGAGGCCGGTGGGAATAGAACCGGCGCTTCAGAGGCTGCGGACAGCTTCACAGTGCTGCGCTCAACTGCCTGCGCCACCAGGGAGGCCCCCGTTCATAGGCTTTTGCTGTAAGGCCCAGGCTACACCTCACGCGGCTATCACACAGAGAATTTATCCCTGTCAGCACTCCAGCCACTGTCCACACTGTGTGGGCTGGGGTGAGCTGGTTGGCTCCCATCCAGTGTGTTCAAGGAACATTTCTTCACCGGTAGACTTACATGCCTAACACCTTTCAAGATTGTAATACCAGGTAGGGGAAATGTCCCCTAAGGAGAAGCAAAGTCCATCTCCATAAAACAATCAGGCAAAAGATGCTACTACTTCACATAAGTCAGTTCAAAATACCCATTTCAATGCCAAAAACAAACTTTCACCTTAAATCATCAGTGCTTACATTCCTTACTGCAGCATCTGTTAGGACTTAGCAGCTTTGGTTTTACAACACAGGGTAGGAGAAGTGTTCTCCAGGCCGACACAATATCCATTCCCATAAAGCACTCAGGTAAAGGAGAGGCAACTTCCCGTGTGAGGATTAATATGCAGAAACTCCAATTAAGTGAGGTCGGGAGGCTACGAGGGAGCTCACACTCACGTCCTCCCTGCACGCTGCAGGCTCCCACCGAGAGTCCCAGCCTCTCCAGTGGGGTGGGTGCTGCTTTGTTGCCCCAGAGGGAGGAAGGAGGAAGCCCCTCCTTATCCAACAGCCAGGGAGACATGCCAGAATCCAACAAATGATAGGCCGCTGTTCTTCTCCAACTCCCAGTTTCCTCCAGGGTACACTTTGTTTATGACAACCCCCATGGGCCTCCCTGGTGGAGAAAGGGTTTAAGTCTCAACACTATGAAGCTGTCCACAGCCACTGCAGCACAAGTTGGATCCCCAGCCAGAGAGCTACCCACATGGCACAGCAGACCCCTCCTGACTCACCCGCTGCTCCCCTCAGCAGTGTATTTCAGTCACTCTCCCTATTCTGCTCCCCACTCTGTCTCTGGTGAATCCCCTCACCACCCTCCCCCTCCTACACACACCTCTGGCCTACACCCTAGCTCTTGTATGCATAAATAAATTTTAAAAAATGACACCCTCCAAGAAAATCTTCAAAATAACATCTCCCTTTTGCCCCAGGGAAGTGTGAGCATATCCCAAAGCACTCCTTGTTGATTCTGAATAAACCCATTTTGCTGGTGAAATAACTGCTCATTTGTTTGAGGTCACTGACATGAAGTCTTGAAACATTCCAATGCTCGTAGTCCTAGCAGCCATCACAGCTTTTATTTTCTGTCAAGTTAATGGTAGCAGTTTCACCAATGGATGTGCACCACAGTGTGTGGGCTTCTGGGTCTAGGCCCCCCACCATTTTCCCCACTCTTAGTGTCCATTAGATTTCTGCAGGGAGTAAGAGTTCGGAGTCTGAGAGGTGAAAATCTTGCCCTCACCTGCCACACATTCAAAAGTGCTGATCTACTCCTCAAAGTGCTCAAGACTTTGGGTCCTTGACTAAACATCCAGCCCCAAGGGACTCGGGTCCATTGTCAATATTTAACCTACCTCAACAATGTCCCAAGTGCATGCTGGTCGGTTCCCTCATCGTAATTTCTGCTTTCTGGCATTTACATTTCTCCAAAAACGTCTAACAATTTCCACCCCACAGGAACATGCCCCAGGACTACCCCCTTTCTTTCTTCTCTCTGTTCTACTCCTCTCCACTTTTGCTTTATTCACATTAGTTTTGAATAACTGGCTCCACTTTGTGGGGAAGTCCCTTGATTCTCCCTATTTTCTCGCAAATTAACCTAGCAATATCTGTAAGGGGGGGGCCGGGGCGTGAGACAGCAAACTTGGTAAGGCTTCTGGAACTGTTCCCTTTGCACCAATCAGATTTTATAGGGTGCCCTTGGGGAAGGGGCCCCTTTAGCCAGCATTAACCACATCTGGGTAGGTGGCATATTTATCCAGTGAATATACCGGTTGTCATAAAGCCAGTTCACGTGATTGCATACACAGCATATCAGCTGCTATATTTTGGGGTGTTCCACTTGGCATTCATAAGGAATGAGAGACAGTCCCCCTTCTCAGGGTAATCAGAGCTCGCACTGGCTTTTATCTTGTCCATGATGTTGACTATTCCCTCAAGAACAACTTTCTGTGTGTCTGGATCAATATAGAGTCATCTGTAGTTGTTCCTTAGTGAACCGAGGGTCCTGCATCAAGCTAAACAAATTCTTCCACAATGCAGAAATTCTAATCTAAAGACACAGCCCCCAAGTTCATTACTCCCACAATCCATTTTAGTAAAGGTCTTCAGGAATCTGCTGACACTGTGCTCCTCAAAGGGTCAGATGGTTGTTTCTCAGTGTGTCCAGATTAGGCCTCTTCTCACCTGTGTGAGTACTAGAGGTCAATCCAGGGCCTCTGAGTCAGGATAGGGGGATCTATTACCATTACTTAAAGAAAGCAGATTGTTTTGGTTGAGCACTGGGGGCTCTGGAAGTTTCTAGGAGAAACTTCTGTCCTTGCCTGAGTCCTAGAGCTACCTCAGAGATGAGATACCTAGACATACCTAGAAGATACCTAGACATACATAGAGCTATCTAGAGGAGAAACTTCTGTCCCTGAGTAATTCTATCATCCCTCCATAATGATGTTACAGATGCCAAGAAGAATGTTGTAGATTTACCAGCAAACATGTCCTTCCTATTAAGAATCTTGTCTTTACTCTCAGAATAAGGATGAGGTAACTACCATCGCCCCTTGTATGTCATGTGAAGCCAAGGGGTGCCCAGAGACCCCAAACTGCTAAGAGGAAAGTTTCCCATTCTAAGGGTTAATGCCCACCCATGCAGATAAAAGCAGGGTAATCAAACTCTTGTGTGCGCAAAGATTTTTAATCAGTAAGGGGTACAAAAGGAAGAGAGGGTGAAGAGGAGTAGGGGAGAGAAGGACCTCAAAATCAACACATGGACTCCCCCTCTGAAATCCACCATCCCCTCATGGGCAAGTGCTTAGCCAAACAGGCAGGATCCAAAGCAGAGCAGACAGAGCCCAAAAGTGAAGCTGCCAGGAGAATGAATCCAAGGGGACCCCCCAGCAGGAAGCACAAGCAAAAGGGTTTGCAGGGTCCAAAGGGTTGGGAGAAGAGGAGAGATTCAGAATTCAAAATGTACTGCCCGAGCTGAACCACCATGAGACCAAGATGGTGACCGTTGTTTCCAAAGGATCACACCACCTGCCCAAGCTCTAAGCCATAAAAGAGAGCCGCATGCCCGGCTTGGTGTTTGAGGTCCAAGTCTCTGTTGTGCGGCTGGCTCTGTTGGAGACCAGCCTCCATACTTGGGTGCAGTTCAAAAGTCATCTCAGTCAAGTTACAAAAGACACCTTCACTGCCCTTCTCATTTAGGAAATCCTAAGAGTTTTAGGAACTCTGTGCCAGAAATGGGGACAAAGACGAAATACCTATTTCTTATAAATCACAATATCACAAGCTTAAAAAATGTCCTTCATTGCATTGGTCCTCAAAACATGGCTCCCCCAGAGTGCCCTGCGGATACCCAGAGTCAAGGAACAAGCGACACTATCAGGGCTGCTGGAGGATTCCCAGCCTTGATTCTTCAGCAAGAAAGAAGCTTCTATGGCAGTGCGTGGTTTTTGCAACTATTTGACTATCTGCCTGCAGTTTGCCTTGATTGTTCTTTGAAAATGAATGGGGAGGGCCTCCTTGGTGGTGCAGGGGTTAAAGACAGTGCTGTGAAGCTCTCACCAGCCACTGCAGCACGGGTTCGATCCCCCACCAGCCAGAGAGCAACCCACATGGCTTAGCAGACCTCTCCTGTCTCCCCACTGTTCCCCTCAGCAGCATATTTCAGTAGATCTGCCTGTTCTGCTCCCCACTCTTTCTGATGAATCCTTTCACCACACCCCGCACCCTGTCCGCACCTCTGGCCTACACCCCAGTTCTTGTATGCATAAATAAATAAATATTTTTTAAAAAGAAAGAAAAGAAAATGAATGGGGGAAAAAAACTTGTTGAGGCAAATGATAAGAATTGAAGTCTTTACAGTCGCTGAGGTCAGCGAAGGTCAACCTCAAGCCTTGCATGTGAAGAGAAAGCCAAAATTCAAGGTTATACATGAAATGTGACCTCATTCTTATGTGAGAAAGCTGAGTTAGATGTAGGAAAAGTTAGATGTAGGAAAAGTTAGATGTAGCTGGTAAAGATGTAGGAAATTAAGAGATCCTTAAATTTGGAGGCTAATTTTTTATGTTTTTGAGAAGCGTTTGTATACACTTAATTGTGGGATATATAAAACACAGGAGAAATTACAAAGAATAAATAACCACCATGCTTTATCTATCCCTCCCTAATTTAACAAATGTTAAAATATTAAGTATCAAATGTTAAATACAGCAAATGTTCAAAGTCCCTCTGCCCATCAAAGGCAATCACACTTTTGATTTCTAGCTTCAGAGATTAGCACATATGAGAGGAAGCATGTATTCTGCGTTCTGGGGTCTGGCTTCTTCCACTTACGCACAAGTAGGCGTTCATCCACGTTGTTACCTCCATCTGTAGTCTATTTTATTGCTGACTAGCTAGTCCATGGTATGAATTTACCAGTTTAGTTACCCTACATGGAGTCTGCTTTTTGAAACAACACCCGCCCCCGACACCTCTAGCCCGGCCCCCAGTGTCTGAGGTGGTGGTCAGGTGTCCAGGTTCACGCCCATGCAGTGGGGTCTACAGCTAGCTCTCAGACAGCTTCCTCTCAGATGTCGTGTGCTTGCTGAGGCCCCTGGGAGATGCCAGGGCTCCCCCCGCGTGCCAACCATATCTCAAGGACTGGGAAAGGGTGGTCTTCTGGGACAGCAGATCCTGGAGAAAAAGCCAGACCTCTGGAGGTAGGGGGATGGGGGAGAACGGGAGGGATTTTCTCCCAAGACGTCTTTGGCCTCTTTAGCCTGTTCTGTGTTTAACGAAGAACGCCTTCCCCTTTTTCTTGCACATCTAGGCTCTGAGTCACTATTTCAACTTTCGCCCAGTGCAAGCACCCTTCAGTGCTCTGCTGTCCAGCCTCCGCTTCACCTTCAGTGCGCTGCTCAGAGATGGCCTTTGGGGTTATGATCCTCCTGGGTGGTGAGTGGGGACCTCAGGGCTGGGAGAGCTTTGGGGAGTAGGCCTGGGCAGGCTGGGGTAGTGATGAACTCTTAAGGCAGTGGAGGGACCTGATATCCAGGGCCTGGTGTGGAAGAAGGAGTCTGGGACCATGACCTGAGCAAAGTGAGGGGAGACAGCTTGTGGGTCTTCATTTCCGGTAGGCGGCCTACTGCTTCCAAGAGAATAGTCTAGAAGCTGAAAAATTGTGTTAGGACCACATCGGTGTGTCATTTAAAAATCTATTGGGGAGCAGTAAAAAATAAGCTTTCACATGAAAATCTAGATTGCCATCTTCTCTTGCAAAAAAAAAGGAAGGTCCAGCAGCTCCGGGAAGGAGGACCGGCTGCCTCCTTAGAAGGGCCATAGGCTTGCACCATTCACCTCACTTACAGAGCCTGCCTACCTGGCCCCTAAGGCACGCAAGTCTCCAATCCTGGGAACCTGCTACCTGTCGGATCTCAGGAGCTTCTTTCAGGCCCAGCAGGGAGTCACTCTTCCAGGGGAGCTGTGGGGCAGGAGGCTTCCTTGCATGTGGCCACAGATAGGGGCCCAGCACCATAAACATCTGCTTCTTCCCAGAACCCTGGACGTCAGGTTTCTGGACCCCCACCCATTTGTCATGGCCTGGCTTGACGCTTGACCTTCTTAGAACTTCCCTACTCTTGGGTTCAGTTATTTCCTCGGTTTAGAGATAACTGGGGATTCTAGGCCGAATGGGGAGAAAGGTGGCTGCTTGGGAGTGGGGGCGGAGGAAAAGGCGCTGGAAATGCAGGTGGCTTCTGAGTTTAGTCACTGGAGAGAGGAATATGATGGGTCGGGATGGGGAGGGTGGGTCAGGACCCTGGCTGAGCCGGGGTCTTGCCATTCTAGGTCAGTGGACATAGGGTGGGGTCCTGCTAAGGGCTAAGCAGGCATCAGCACCGGCAGAGGGACCGGAGCCTGCCTGCTCGGAGCCAGGCGCTGGGGAGGGGACACGGGAAGCTCATCACTATAAATAATGACTTGCAGGACTCTGCATGTGCTCCCCGATCTGGACCTTCAGTCCTCTGTATAACGGGAAGATGGCACAGGGCAGTCTTTAGGTGGGCAACCTGGGCACACATAATGCCCGGTGTAACTGTGGATGGGAACCTTTCATAGTCTGAGGTCACAGTGGAGACAGTAAATTGCATGGTCGCTGCATCTTTAAGGGCCATTCCTGACCTAACATGCAAGCAGGGGACCTGTCTCATTTCAGACTGTGGCTGTCCTCGAGGGGCCCTGTCTCTAGGCAATTGCTCTTTACAACTTTGTGGTTTAAGTATTATTTTTTTAAGATTTATTTATTTATGCATACAAGAGCTGAGGTGTAGACCAGAGGTACAGGGAGGTGAGAAGATTTACCAGAGACAAATTGGGAGGTAAAACAGGCAGACTGACTGAAATACACTACTGAGGGGAGCAGCAGGCGAGTCAGGAGAGGTCTGCTGTGCCGTGTGGGTCAACTCTCTGGCCATGGATTGAACTTGTGCTGCAGTGGCTATGGACAGCTTCATAGTGCTGAGACTTAACCCCTTGCACCACAAGGGAGGTCCAGGTTTGATTATTTTTGAGAGAGGCAGAGAGAAGGGAGCCACAAAAATGGTAAATCAAGAAATGAGACGAGAATATCCTTGTCCCAGGCGGACGCAGAACCAAGGCAGGAGGGAAGTGGGCATCAAGACCCCAAGAAGTCAGGAGTCCCCCAGGAGAAGGGACTTCTCTCATCATTCCACTCACCCCATCTTGCTGTATTCCTCAGTCCTGACTTCTTGTCATGGATTCAACTTGGATGTGGAGAATCCTGCGGTCTTTCAGAAGGACGGAGTTGGCTTTGGGCAGAGCGTGGTCCAGTTTGACAGCTCAAGGTAGGACCCATCCTTCCCCTTCCCCTTGGCCTGTGGACAGGTGGCTGCACGAGGCACACCAGGGAGGTCCCCTGAGGAAGGGCAGCACGGGTGAGAAGCTATACAGGACTCCTCCAAGACCCTGGCCCCATTACTAACTATTCACCATCCCCGGAAGGGCCACAACCTTGGAGGGAAGCCTCGAACCTGAAACTTTGCTCACTGGCTTATGCCAGCAGGTCCCTAACCCTCCGGCTCCAGCCATCTGCTTAAGTTTTCTTTAGCGAGTCATACACACAGAGGTTTCAGCTTCCCGAAAAGGAATGACTCTCTAGAAGAAACTTTTAGGAGCCCTCTAACTGAGTCTACTTGGCTAATTAATTAGTATTTGTCCCATTTTCTCATCTGAGTGGAGGTTGTTGGTAGCTGTTTTCCAAAATTAAAAAAGTCTCTCTTCTCAAGGAGTTTGACAAATAAACTGCACTTACATGCCTGTAGAATACATGTGGGTTCTGATAAAGTGGCTTTAATGGTGCAATTTAGGTAGTTTCTATTATATTTACATCCTCCAATTAATTATAGAATCATCTATTTGTTTTGGAAGCTGTGGTTTCAGGGAATTTTTCCTTTTAACTTGAACCATTTCTTGGGCAGTTCAGACAATGACACCCCAGAAATAAAATGCACTTACCCATGGCTGGGCAATGCTGTTTTTTTTTAATAATTTAATGTTTTTAGTGAATGCTTTTAAAGAGTCCAAATCATTTGGATATGTAAATACACGTCTATTTAAGTACACACACACACACACACACACACACAGCCCACATGGTCCCTCACTGAGTTTTGAATAGCCTCCAATGGCAGCTGCTGAGAGCTTCCCTCTCAGTGTCAGGCACGGCCGTGCTTCCTCACCCATAGCACCCTCTGCCCCTCACCCCGCGTGACTGTATGCCATGGCTGTGCCTCCAGGCTCGTCGTGGGAGCCCCCCTGGAGGTGGTGACAGTCAACCAAACAGGACGCCTGTATGACTGTGAGGTGGCCACGGGCCATTGTCAGCCCATCTTGCTCCACTGTGAGTGACGAGACCCAGCTCCTAGGGCCCTCAACCCCCCCACACCCGAGCATCCACTCCTCACCCTCCAGCCCAGATGCACCCCCTAAATGAGAGTGTGACCATGTGTGTCTGTCCCCTCAGCACCCCCAGAGGCCGTGAACATGTCCCTAGGCCTGTCCCTGGCGGCCTCTACCGAGGATTCCCTGCTGCTGGTGAGTTTCCCTGGGCCTCAGGAAGGGGAGGGGGCCACAGCGGGAAGCGAGGGTTGAGGGGGAAACGGGGGGGGGGCGTGTTCTGGGGGCCCCTTGCCCACGCAGGCCTCTGCTGCCAGGCCTGCGGCCCCACCCTGCATCGATCCTGTGGGAAGAACATGCACGCGGAAGGCTTGTGCCTGCTGTTGGACTCCCGCCTGCAAATGGTCCAGAGAGTCCCAGCTGCCCTGCCCGGTAGGTCCCTGGAGACAGTAGTTCTGGGCGAGGCACCGAGGAGGAGGCTGGGTCTCAGCCTCCTGGGCCCACTGCCCCTTCCTAGAGCCTCAGCAAGCCCTGGAGGGATTGGGGTATGCTTGGCCCAGCAGGCAGGGCAGCTCAGTGTGGAGCCGAAGTTGATCCAAGGGTGAAGGTTCTGAGGGGGCAGACAGGAGCCCCAGTGTGCTGACTGTTGGGGGCCTGAGGGTCTTAGCGTTGCCCTCAGGTGCAGGGACACTTTTGGCTTTTAGAGGAAGGGCTTTGGATGCTGAAATCATGTGGTGCGGTGAGAGCGCCAGGAGCCACAAGGGAGGAAGCTCTGGAGGGCTTCCTCGCCTGCACTGGAGCTGGGGCTGCATCCTGGGTCCCCCTCGGGCCTCAGCATCTTTCTGAGAGTCAGGCTGAAAATGGGGTTCAGGTTCATCTTCTGTGTCCTTGGCCGGTGATGTCATTCCTTGAGCCTAAGTTTCCTCACTGGTAAAATGGGGCTTAACCGTTGGGATGATTCCAAGGGTTAAAGGTTTAATCTATAAAGTGCTTCGACCCCCACTGGCACATAAGTGAGGGCTGTCAGGATGGACTTGCCAGCTGAGACGTGTGTGGGGACCAGGAGGAGGGGAGAGGCACTCCCTCACCCGCGGGGTCAGAGAGGGTGATAGGCCCCAAGTAAGGTGGGGCCAGGCAAGGAGCTGACTAAGAACAGCGCTTTGGGGCAGGGGAGCCAGGGCCGCAGGCGAGGTGGGCTTGTAGCCAAAGGTGAGGCAGTAGCAGAAGCCTCCCCACCCCATATAAAACCTTCAGAGCAGAGTCTAGAGAGGAGACAGAGAGAACAGAGGAGAGGTGTCAGGGCTCGTGGGGGTACTGCCCTGCTGGATGCCTGTGCAGCCGCGTGGGGTGGGGGGGTAGCATTTAAACACCCGGAGGTACATGTCTTCTAGATGCCTCTGGGCTCACGAGGTGGGTGCCTGAGGAGCATGGGACGCAGGCGTGTCAGCTGATGCAGGCGAGGCAGGTCTGGGCAGCAGTGCAAGGACCATGTGGGGCAGGGCCAGGGGACCGCTGTGCTCCACCTACTGCCTCTTCACAAGGTCCTGGACTGTAGGCAGGATGACCCCCATTTTACAGACAAGAAAACTGAGGCTCAGAGCAGGGTATTCCCATTGCCAAGAAGTGGCAGAGCCCCGAGCTTGGGCCTCACTCGCTTGGTCCTTGCTCAGGAGCTTTCAGCTGCAGCAAGTGTTGCTGTTGGGAGTCCAGGGGATAGAACGGAAGGAGAAAAAACAGAAGTGACATTATACAGAGCTGGCCACAGCCTGCCTGAAAGGGGATGTGAGGGGTGATTTCGTGGTGCAGTTGAAAAACCGGACACAAATGCAGCTGCAGGAGACGGCGGGGGGGGGGGGGGGGCGGGGTGAGGGGACCTGGGGACAGGTAGTGGCTCCTCGGTCAGCCTGTGATGGCCGGATTTCCTGGCGGAAACAGGAAAGAAAGTGGTCTCCCGCTCTTCTCAGCTCTGGTGAAGCACCAGCCGGTTGAATAGATGGGATGGGGGAGGAGCGAGTGCGGGAAGAGGTCATTCTGCTCAGTGGCCCAGGCAGGCTGTGGCTGCTGAACCTCACACCTCAGCACTGTGCTGACCTCATCTCCCACCACCCAGAAAGCAGCACAGGATGTGGGTGCTGGCGGCAGCCCTGACGGAGTGCAGTACACAGGCCACAGCCCCCTCCCCCTGAGTCTGGGATCAACCTGAAGCAGCTAGTGTTAATGGGTACATGGTGTCTTTCCATTGTGGTGTGGACAACAGACCAGGGATAGCATTTCTCTTTTTAAAACTGTGGTCTTAGATCAGATTTCCCCAGAAACAGACCCCGAGGCTTGTCAGGGAATGTTCTGGGGACAAGTACCCTGAAAGCGTGAAGAAGGCAAGCCTGGGCTGAAGGAGGTGAACTGTGATGTGATTTCTACAGAAGCCTCAGCAGGCCCACGCGGAGTGTGGCTAGATTCAGGTCGCTCCCAGGAGTGGATGGTGGGACAGCTCCCCTTTGGGGTGACTCCTGGGCAGGAACATAGCTGAGAGCCAGTGACAGCCAACGACCTGCAGCTGGGAATGGGCACCTCCATCCTGACGGGTGCACGCCCCGGCATCCACTGCAGCGTGTCCTTGGGCCCAGAACAGAGCCTCGCCCATGGCGATGGCAGTTCTAATAACCGATTGTCGTGAGACCCAGGCCCTGGTGAAGCACTTCACACGTGTACTCCCTCACCCTTGCGATCACCCGCTGAGGCCGGTGCTCTTATTTCCTATTTTATGGAATAGGGAAAATGAAGCCCAGGGAAGCTGGAGTTGAGCTCAGCGCACAGGCTCCAGGGTGAACGCTCTGACCCACTGGTGGCATTCCCGAGCTCTATGGCGGGGTGTGTGTTCAATTAAGAATATATTTGTTGAGTACACGAATGAGGAGTCCATCCCGGCTCTGTATTCTGCTTCCTTCTCCCCTTTTCCAGGCTTTGTGAGGAGAGGGGATCCTTAAGGGCCCTGCTGAGGGAAGAAGGGGATGGGGCAATAGGTTGGGGCCTCCTGTGGAGCAGTCAGAGGCCTGGTGGGACTGACCCCATGCAAGAATGGTGTGGGGCGGGTCCTGGGCCTGAGGAGATGGCTGGGCCTCACACGCACATCTCTGATTCCTCCCGCTCTGCAGAGTGTACAAGCTCAGAGACGGACATTGTCTTCCTGATCGATGGTTCTGGCAGCATCAGCCATCGTGACTTTGAGGAGATGAAGGACTTTGTCAAAGCTGTGATGGGCCAGTTCAAGGGCACCAACACCCTGGTGATGATGGGGCTCCTGGGGAGAGGGGGAAAGGGAGAGTCTGCCTTTGGGGAACACCAACCTGGCAGGGGAGTCCCGGCATCTCAGGGGTGGCTCAGTGGACCCGGGGTCCCAGTGCAGGCCTGATGCCATCCCTGACCTGGAGTTTAATATGTCCTCCCAAGCCAAAGGAAATGCAATGTTTCTGCTGTTTAAAAACACCAAAAGAATTGTAAAATAATCCTGCTGGGAAATTTAACTAAAGGTAACTCAACCCAATAATTGGTGATTTATTATGTTTTCCATGTACCTCATGATGTAGTTTATTATTTTATTTCCTAGTAATTAGATATATGTATATACAAATTCTTGTGGCATGAGGAAATATGGCCTATGAATTAATTTCATGTGGTATAGATTTTTGTTATTTTACATTTAACAATACTATAGTTAGCCACAGCTGTCTTTGGAGACTATGAAAGCAGCATTATTTGGCTTTTTCAGCTTTCTCTTTCAATTTTTTCCTCTGGTTTTCAGTTGGACCTCAAAAACACATTAAAAAATGTTTTGTAGGGCCTCCCCGGTGGCGCAGCGGTTGAGCGCTGGGTTGCGAAGCTGCCCGCGGCCTCTGCGGCGCCGGTTCGATCCCCGGCTGCTCCCCGGCCACCAGAGGAGGGTCCCACGTGGCGCGCAGACCTCTCCTGCCGCCCGCTGCTCCCCTCAGCAGTGTACTTCGGTCCTTCTGCCTGCTCTGCTCCCTGCTCTGGCTCTGGTGAATTCTCTCACCCTCCCGCGCTTCTGACTGTACCCAGTGCTTGTATAAACAAAAAACAAACAAACAAAACAAATAAATAAAACATGCCTCTAGGGAAAAAAAAAATTAAAAAATAAATAAATAAAAATAAAAAATGTTTTGTAAATGCCAAATTAGTACAAAATGAAACATTTATTTAAAAAAACGTCTGGGCCTCCCTGATGGTGCAAGGGGTTAAGATGCAATCTATGAAGCTGTCCGCAGCCACTGCAGCACGAGTTCAATCCCCGGCCAGGGAGCAACCCACATGGCACAGCAGAGCTCTCCTGACTCACCCGCTGCTCCCCTCAGCAGTTTGTTTCAGTCAGTCTGCCTGTTCTGTTTCCCACTCTGTCACTGGTGAATCCTCTCACCACCTGCACCTCTGGCCTGTACCCCAGTTCTTGTATGCATAAATAAATACATCTTTAAAAAAAAATCAACTTCTGAGCCCTAGGGCCCTTCTCTTGCCCTTGCAGTTCTCACTGATGCAGTACTCAGACATCATGGAGACTCACTTCTCCTTCACCAAGTTCCAGAGGAGCCCAAACCCGCTGACACTGGTGGATCTTATCAATCAGCATCGAGGCCTCACGTACACAGCCACGGGCATCCAGACAGTGGTGTAAGGTCTCCTCCTGCCGGGTACACTGCCATGCCGCACCCCCCCACCCCCATTCTCATGCCCATCTCCTGGGCTGCAGGGGCTCTGCAGGGAGGGCCTCAAATGGGAGGCTTGGGGACTACAGGCAGAGTCCTCCCTGGAGGACTCGGGCCCCTCACTAACTGTGTCCTTCCTGACATAGGAAGACTCCTCCAGACCAGGGGTCCCCTTTGCCTGGCCTCTGATAGGCTGGGCCCTGTGTGTTCTGAGTTTGTAGAGCTACATAAGAATATACTTATGTTTTCAACTGTTTGTAACAGCTATGAAAGCTTGCTTACCTGTTGTCACTACTGGTGTGAGAGCCTTGCCTCACTTAATCCTCAGGATAACCTGATCCTGTCTCCGTTACCTATTCTCACCTAACAGACCACTCCCAAGTTCAGTGGCTTATACAAACTCTCCCATTCTTTTCCACTCTCCCGGGGCTCAGCAGGACGGCTCTTGTGCTGTTCTTGTGTGGGACTCGCATGTGGCTGTGGTCTGGGGGAGTGTGAGGCTGGAGCGTGCGTGCTTATTCCCTGGGTGGGCCTGGCCGGCATGGCTTGAAGGCTGGGCTCACCCAGGACGCCTGAGCCTCTCTCAGCCGTCGTGGGGTTCCTCCGACAGGGGAGCTGGACTTCTTTCATGGTGGCTCAGGACTCCCCAAATGCAAAAGCTACCAAGACCTCCTTAGGCCTTGGTGTAACCAGCATGGGGTCACTTCTGTTGCACGTTTCTGATTCAAGTGAGTGGCAGGCCAGGAAGGGGAGTCAGGTATGGCTCATTGGGCGCCATCTTTAGAGACCAGCTTATTCTTCTCATCTTGCATGGAGAGAAGCAGAGGCTCAGAGAGGTGGAGTAACCTGCCCAACGTGCGTCTGATGCCACAGCTCCTACTCTGAACCATACTGTCTCCTGGGAATAATGTCCCACAGCGAATGAAATTTTAGGAGCAAACAATATGAGAATCTTTAACATTGCATCTTACTGATGACTGTCAGTATGACTTTCAAAAGGGACTGAATTGGCTCTTTAACATACCTGACAGAATTTGAGGGTACCAAGACTCCCCAGTATCTCCAGGATGAGCTTCCAGCGCTGCAAGTGATTTCCTTCCAGAACTAATCACATCTCAGTAAAGTCATCCTCCATTCTTCCCTGACAGGCGAGAACTATTTCACAGAAAAAATGGAGCCCGCAAAAGGGCCAAGAAGATCCTCCTTGTCATCACAGATGGGCAAAAATACAGAGACCCCCTGGAATACAGCGAAGTCATCCCCGAGGCGGAGAAGGCCGGCATCATCCGTTATGCCATTGGGGTGCGTCCTCTTCCTCTCGGCTCCCCCAGACTCAGCCTGGCCTCACCCAGCAGAAAGACTGGCAAGTGCTCCTCCTCAGCTGCCTCTCTGCCGCAGGTGGGAGATGCTTTCCACGATCACAGCGCCAGGCAGGAGCTGAATGACATTGGCTCAGCGCCCTCACAGGACCACGTGTTCAAGGTGGACAACTTTGCAGCCCTCAGCAGCATCCAGAAGCAGCTGCAGGAGAAGATCTTTGCAGTTGAGGGTGAATAGGGGGTAACCTTGGGTCTTTTTTTTTTTTTTTTAATTCTTCAGGAAGCTGTGGAAGCATTTTTTTTTTTAAGATTTATTTTTATTTATTTATACAAGCACTGGGCACAGTCAGAAGCGTGGGAGGGTGAGAGAATTCACCAGAGCCAGAGCAGGGAACAGAGCAGGCAGAAGGACTGAAGTACACTGCTGAGGGGAGCAGCGGGCGGCAGGAGAGGTCTGCACACCATGCGGGACCCTCCTCCGGTGGCCGGGGAGCAGCCAGGGATCGAACCGGCGCTGCAGAGGCTGCGAGCAGCTTCGCAACCCAGCGCTCAACTGCTGCGCCACCGGGGAGGCCCTAACCTGGGGTCTTGAAGTTGCCGTGTTCCCCACAGTCCTGAGCATCCTACTCACAGCTCGCCCAAGCTGCTCCCCAGAAACCAAGCCCCAGAGCATACTAACCTCCCTCTATTCCAAGTCCTCATGATCTCACAGCCTCCAGGAGCCTCAGTGATTTGTGTCCTCACAGGAACCCAGTCAAGAACAAGCAGCTCCTTCTGGCATGAGATGTCACAAGCCGGCTTCAGCTCAGTACTCACAAAGGTGGGTGAGGCATGGTGCTTGATTAACAGGTCTCAGCCACCGACCTGGGACCAGCCCTGGGTTGGGAGCCAAAAATAAAGAAGATGGCAGACCTTGTCCTTAAGCTCACCATCTAGCAGGGGGCGGGGAAAGACTATCTGGCAGTGTTTGTAGGTGCTGGGAAAAACAAATGAGAACAGGAGAGTCAAGGTTCTTGCTCCCATGGAACACACATTTACTGAGAGGAGATGACAACAAAAGACCTTAGATAGTGCTGGATTCTTGGGTCATCAGATGAGGCCTGAGGAGCAACAACTGAGGCTTAATGATGAAAAAGGACCAGGCCTGGAAAAATCTGGGGCGAGATTGCTCCAGGTAGAGGGAAAAGCATATACAAAGGTCCTGAGGGAGGAACAAAGTGACTGCATTAGAGAGACAGCAAGGCCAGGACAGCTGGAGCAGAGAACTAGGACCAGCAAGGAAGGAACAGGCAGCAGAGGTGAGAGGGCTGGACCATGTAGGCCAAAGAAGTGACAATACAGCATGACTTGTCTAAAAGCCAGTGTGTTCAAAATACTCATAGGGATTTGTTTCAAAATAATATGGGGGCTTCTTGGGGGGATGGAAGAAGTGAAACAAGATTGTTCATAAATTGATCAGTCACGCTAGATGTGTTTTAGAAAAAGCGTAACTTGACAGCTCTGGTGGCAAAGGAACCTGGATGCGCCCTGTGGGGCAGGGTGACAGGGACCCATCTCCCTTTGCACATGGGTTTGAGGAAACCTAGCTCTGGGCGTGGAAGACAGAGCAGAGGGGAGCAAGCTAGGAGGCAGAAAGGGCAGAGGGTGAGGGCCTCCCTGGTGGCGCAGGCCATTGAGCGGAGTGCTGTGAAGCTGTCTGCAGCCTCTGCAGTGCTGGTTCAATCCCCGCCAGCCTCGGAGCAACCCTCATGGCGAGCAGACCTCCCCTGTCTTGCCCACTGCTCCCCTCAAAAGTGTGTTTCAGTCAGTCTGCCTGTTCTGCTCCCCATTCTGTCACTGGTAAATCCCCTCACCTCCCATGAACCTGGCCTGTACCCTGGTTCTTGTATAAATAAAATAAATCTTTTTAAAAAAAAGAAAAGAAAAGAAAGGGCAGAGGGTGAGAGGCAGGTGGGGACGGACAGAGAGACACTGGGTGTTAGGAACACAAGCTGCCCGTGAGCTGGAGAAGGGGAAGGAGCATCCCAAAGAATGGGTGGAGGCGCCGCCAGCATCTCTTTGGCACTGGCTTCTGCTTCTCCCTCCCACCTGCTCAGCTCTGGCATCCTTCCCTCCCAGGATGGACCCGTTCTGGGGGCCGTGGGGAGCTTCAGCTGGTCTGGAGGTGCCTTCCTGTACTCCAAGGGCATGAGTCCCACCTTCATCAACATGTCTCAGGAGAACGTGGACATGAGGGACTCTTACCTGGGTGAGGAAAGGCCGGGCCGGGGCCCAGGTGGGAGCCGAGCTGCCTGGCACGAAGCCCAGGGGTGGGCGGGGGGAGCCTTTGTGATGAGGCCCGGCCCCCCTCAGGTTACTCCACTGAGCTGGTCCTTTGGAAGGGGGTACAGAGCCTGCTCCTGGGGGCCCCCCGCCATCAGCACATCGGGAAGGTCGTCCTCTTCACCCAGGCGTCAGGGCGATGGAGGCCAGAGGCCAACGTCACAGGGACACAGGTTGGGCGTGGAGGGAGCCTGAGGGTGGGCAGCGTCTCCAAGGGCAGAGAGGGAGGAGATAAAGGGGTCCTGGGGTCTGGGTGGGGTGCAGGGGGCAGGGGAGAGGTGGGGCCTGTCCCAGAGGGGTGGCTCTGGCAGGGACAGGCAGGACAACTTCAGGCTCCTCCCCCACCAGATCGGCTCCTACTTCGGGGCCTCCCTGTGCTCTGTGGACGTGGATGCAGATGGAAGCACAGACCTGGTCCTCGTCGGGGCCCCCCATTACTATGAGCAGACGCGGGGAGGCCAGGTGTCCGTGTGCCCCATACCCCCGGGGGTGAGTGGCTGATGGGGCCTGGGCGGGTGGGGTCTGGTGGGGTGAGGGGTCGCCCAGGTTGGGCCTGGCACTGGTTTGTTCCGCAGAGGACCAGCTGGCAGTGTGTGGCTGTCCTCCGTGGGGAGCAGGGCCACCCCTGGGCGCGCTTTGGGGCAGCCCTGACGGTGCTGGGGGATGTGAATGGGGACCAGCTGACGGATGTGGCCATCGGGGCCCCGGGAGAGCAGGAGAACCAGGGAGCTGTCTACCTGTTTCATGGAACCTCAGAACAGGGCATCAGCGCCTCCCACAGCCAGGTGAGGCCCGTCCGCAAGCTCCTCGACTTCCCCATCCTCTCCCATTGCCTGGGTTCCCCAGACGCCGCCTCCCACACGCCTGAGCAGCAGCCACCCTCCATCGTTTTGTGATGTATTGCCCTGGATCCCTCCAGACCCAGCTGAGCACAAATTATCTCCTCTGTTTGGCTCCAAACAGACCTCAGTCTGCGGTGGTGGTGTCACGGTTTAGGGCCGGTCAAGCGCCCAGTCAAGGTAGCTGTGCGGCCTCGGCCAGGCGACCAATGTCATTTCCCTCTCTGAGGCGTTAAATGACAAGCCAGTCGCGGACGGCGGCGGGCGCACTAAGCCCTCATCCAGTATGTGTGAGGACGCAAGTGATGAAGACATGAGTCTACTCTGTTGCTACTGCTGCGCTTCTCCTTTGTCATCACTCGCGATGAGCCGGACCCTTCTTGCTGGGGTCCCTGAGGTCCTCACTCTGCTGCTTTCCGTCCCTGCCCCCCAGTCTCTCCTTCGATTTTTCCAGATCCACTCTGACTGCGACCTCCTCCCCAGAGCTCTCCTCTCAGACCTTTCCAACCCCACCGACTTGCGCATCTTCTTCCCTCTCCGGCAGCGGATCGCAGGCTCCCAGCTCTCCCTCAGGCTCCAGTACTTTGGGCAGTCGCTGAGTGGGGGCCGGGACCTCACCCAGGACGGGCTGGTGGACCTGGCCGTGGGCGCCCAGGGGCACGCGCTGCTGCTCAGGTGAGAACTCCCCACCGCTACAGCCTGCTCCCCAAGCTGCCCGAGTCGGACGCTCACCCCTGCATGTGCCCACAGGAGCCGGCCGGTGCTGGAGGTGGAGGTGGACATGAGATTCTCGCCCACAGTGGTGGCGAAGGCTGCGTACCAGTGCTGGGGCAGGGTGCCCGCCACCCTGAGGGCTGGGGAAGCCACCGTCTGCCTCACTGTCAGCAAAAGTTCAGCGGACCAGCTGGGTGAGCGTCCTCCCAGGGCCCACCTTCCCGGAGGCACTAGGACACAAGGGGCCCGGGAATCCAAAAATGCCCCCCATGTCCCCCCGGCTGTGGAGTCAAACCGTGGGCACCCTCTCTTGCCCTCGTCCCACGCCTGGGCCTGGAGGTTCTCGGTCCAGGATCCACCCCGTGGGCACCCTCTCTTGCCCTCGTCCCACGCCTGGGCCTGGAGGTTCTCGGTCCAGGATCCACCCCGAGTCTGCGCCCCTCTCTCCACGCCAGCCCCTGCCTTCCTTGTGGCCACCGCCTCTCTCACCCGCTTGGGGAGCTGTTCCCCGGCTACTCCCGCCACCCCTGCTCGCCACAGGGCAACGAGAGTGACTGGCTCTAAAATGCAAATCTTGTTTAACACCCCTCCGTAGTCTCCTTCTTGCTGTTCTAAAGGCCCCAAACTCCTTCCCTTCAATGCCTGGCTGGTCTGGCCCCTCCCCGCCCTCCAGCACCACCTCAAGCCACTTCCTGGGATCGCGCCGGCCTCCCCTCCCTGCGGGCTGGTTGCCATGGTCTGGAGTGTTCTCACCACTCTTCACCAGACTCCGGCTCATCCTCCAGGTTGAGCATCCAGGACGACACCTGTGGCCCCCAGGTCTGAGGGGCCCCCCTGTGTGCTGTCCCCCCTCCTGCACTGTGAACTCCCCGGGGGCAAGATCCGGCTCTGTCTCCCCCACCCGTGTCTCCAGCGCCCGGTACAGTTCATGGCCACAGAAAGCTCAGTCGCTCTTTCCTCCAGGAACATACGAAAAGGGAACATTCTAAGTTGTTGGTTTTTTTTTTTAATTTTTGAATTTTATATATTTTTCACATCATTTTTCATTTTTGCACAATGTGTGCATTTTCTTCTTGGTTCTAGTCCCCGTACAATTCCCACCCCCCCTTGTTTTGCTCCTACTCCCCACCCCCTCCCCGCCCCAGTGTGTCTCTGGTTTATGTTGCTTGTTGATTTTAATTTTTACTTTATTATAATTAGTCTTTTTTTTTTTCCTGGTCCCTTATTTCGGTTTTCTCAATTCCTGCTATGAGTGAGACCATCCGGTATTTTTCTTTTTCTTTCTAAGTTCTCTTTGACGTTCCACCTCCCACCCGCTTCTACTTCAGGTGAGGTCCGAAGCGCTGTCTCGTATGACCTGGCCTTGGACCCCGGCCGTCTGACTTCGCGCGCCGTTTTTGATGAGACCAAGGAAAGGACTTTGACACGAAGGAAAACTCTGGGGCTGAGGGCGCACTGCGAGGGCGTGAGGCTGCTCTTGACGGTGAGGACTGTGGGTTCTAGAAAAGGGAGGAGGGGGAGACTCTAGCACCCCTGTGCCCTGCTGAGTGAGGCGGGAAGGCGGGGAGACTGGCCTGCTGAGAGGAAAGTTGGGAACCAAGAACCTAGCTCCACAGTCTGGCTGGGGTGCTCCGTGGGGACTGGATGCCGGGGAAGAAAGTCCCAGTGGTGAAAATAAAGGGGAAGATGACGGATTCTTCAAATCCCACTCTCCCTCAGGACTGCGTTGAGGACATGGTGAGCCCCATCATCCTGCGCCTCAACTTCTCCCTGGTGGGAAAGCCCATCCCCTCATCCCGGAACCTTCGCCCCGTGCTTGCTGTGGGCTCACAGGACGTCTTCACTGCTTCTGTGAGTTTTCCAGTGAAGGCCCAGGGGATGCTGACTTGCACTGATTGTATTCCCATGTGCTTAAGAACCCACGCTGGCTCTCGACGGCCCACGAACCACACGAAATCCCAAAAGATCCACCCAGTTTCCAAGATCCTGCCTATCTTGCACCCCGCCCCCCCCACACACACATCCCTACTGATTTCCCCAACATAAACTCTTTGGTTCTCATTCTGCTTCCCACATTCCTACCCCTGAGGCTTTGATCATGTTGTATCTCTCATTTGGAAAATGTTTTCTTCTCTCCACCTCAAAGATCTCTAGTCGCCAAAAGCCCCCCTATTTCTCTCTCTTTTGAAAATTGTACCCAGCACCTGTCCCTCCTCTAACCTCCTGTCTTGTCGTGGTGATACCTTGCCAGATATCAAGAGACAGAAATCGTAGCAATCTGCGTCAGCTTCTGTGGCTCTCTGGGAATTGTGGGTTCCCTGGACGCAAGAAACATGACTTTCCTAACGCCCCAGCCCACTCTCATTATTGACACTTAATGTTTGAACAGTTGCTCCAGTGTGAATTCGATTTGACTCCTTAACTTTTTGTTCCTGGAAGTCCAGGATCATGTCTTATCTTTCTTCTATCTTCTAACTGCCTCTCCCACCACCCCACCCCTTACCAGTGTCTAACGTGGCATGGGGGCAGGGTGAGTGCTCAGTAATTACGTTGATGAGCACCCCCAATGATGAGTTCTGCTAACGAGGGGCTGGGGGAAGATTGGGACAGTGGATGGAAAGAGGATATACTGTTTTGCTGCAGCTCCCCTTCGAGAAGAACTGCGGGCAAGGTCGTCCCTGCGAAGGGGACCTGAGCGTCAGCCTCAGCTCCTCAGGGTGAGCACTTTCTCCTGTCACATCCAGAAACCCAGGCGCGTGGGCTGTCCAGCCTCAGAGGATGAGTGCTGGTGTTCCCCTTTGGGTCTCCTCCCAAATAAGTGATTTTGATTGGCGTGTGGTCAGCCACAACCCATAGTTCCCACAGAACTGCCCCTGCCCTTGATTCAATTCCAACCTACCTGAAGTCACTCTCCAGTTTGTCCTTCCTCTTTCAGTCTGCAGACCCTGGTGGTGGGGAGTTCCCTGGAGCTCAATGTGACAGTGACTGTATGCAACGAGGGGGAAGATTCCTACGGAACTGTGATCAACTTCAACTACCCGCCAGGGCTGTCCTATCGGCGAGTGATACGAATCCAGGTAAACGGCTCCCCTGGACTGGCTGGCTGGACTCCCTCCCCTATAACAGGTTCCTTTTAATTCTTCCATAATGAAAGAGAAAGAGAGAAGGAGAGGTGCATAAAGCATACGCATAGTTTCATAAATAAACTAAAGCAAATATCTACGCAGTTAGCATTCAGGGAGAGAAATAAAACATTGCTAGCATTTAGCAGTGTCAGACTTTCAAATCTTTGTCAATCTGGCGGGTAAAAATATTTCCTTGCAGTTTTAATTTGTATTTCTCTAATGAGATTGAACAACTTTGCATATATTTTTCCTGGTCATTTGACTTTCTTCTTTTAGGAAATGCCTTCCAAGACTTTTTCCTGTTCTTTGATTGAGTTGCCCATCTTTTTCTCACTGGGTTGTAAGGGTTCTTTGCATTGTTAGATTACTAGTCCTTTTCCAGTTTTATGTGCTCAAATAATTTTTCCAGTCCTGTTGCTTATCTTTTCTGACCCCTCATAAGTGTCTTTTAATTTAAAGAATTTCTAAATGTGATTGCAGTTGATCTTTTCCAATCCTTCCCTTTGTTTCTAGTGCTTCTGCATGTGTTTCTAGTGCTTCTGCATGTGTCTTGTTTAAGAAATACTACCCTACCCTAAGGGATGAAGACTTTCCTCTATATTATCTTCTAAAAGCTTTACAATTTTTCCTTTGCACATTGAAATCTTTAATTCAGTTGGAATTTATTTTAATACATGGAGTGAGGTAGGGATCCAATTTTTTAAAAAGATTTATTTATTTATGAATACAAGAACTGAGGTACAGGCCAGAGGCACAGGGGGTGAGAGGATTCACCAGAGACAGAGAGGGGAGCATAACAGGCAGAAATACACTGCTGAGGGGAGCAGCGGGAGAGACAGGAGAGGTCTGCTGCACCATATGGGTAGCTCCCTGGCCGGGGATAGCTTCACAGTGCTGTGCTTAACCCCTTGTGCCACCAGGGAGACCCGGGATCCAGTGTTTTTGTCTTTGTCTCACTTGAGCCAATTTTTCCAGGACCTTTTATTGAAGTCTGTCCTTCTCCTACTGCTCTGTGTGCATGTGGGTAACTTTTAAAAAATTCATTTTCCCCCTCTGGAAGGAACCCCATGAGCGCCCACTGCGTCTGGCATGCACAGTACTCACAGAGAATGAAGACCTGAGGAGAACCAGCTGTCACATCAACCACCCCATCTTCCGAGGGGGCATGAAGGTCAGAATTTCCTCCTAAATCTTCATCACTCTTCTCCCTTGTCCTGACCCATTCTCTTCTCCCACCTCTGTGACCTTCCTGTTCCCATTCCTTCTTTATTCTTCTCTCAGGCCACCTTTATAGTCACATTTGATGTTTCCTACAAGGCCAACCTGGGAGACAAGTTGCATCTGAGGGCCAGTGCAAGCAGGTGAGCCCAGGCGAAGGGATCATATGTCCTCACACATCAGTCTCTTGCCCCAGCCGGGGACTCCTCTCCTGGATTCCTTCCCAACTGGGCTCCTCTCACCCCCTCTTTCTCCAGTGAGAATAATAAGCCTACAAGCAACAAGATCACCTTCCAGCTGGAGATCCCAGTGAAATATGCCATCTACATGGTGATCAGCAGGTACTTAAAGTCTGGCCTTGGGCCTCTGACCTTTCTCTAAGCCTCATCCTTCCCCTCAGTCCAGCCTGCTCTAGCGAGGATGGGTACCTGAGCCAGCCCCCCTGATTCCTCACATGGCTGAGAGATCATGCAGGTGACCAGACAGGCAGTTAGACCATGGCACCCAATACTGTCATTCTGGCTTCTCTGACGAACTGGCCTGTGGGTGGGACACACACTCCTTGCCACCGCTGTACACTCCCTCCTCTTTCTCCAAGACAAGCTTCCTTCAACTCGAAGCCAAGCCTACCCTTAGTGCCAAACACGAAGCCTGTGCTGCAGTGAAGCTCCCAGACTGAGATGGAGGCTTTTCTGAGCACTCTGAGTGGGGAGCTTGTGCCCGACAGGATTTGCTCACAGGGGAAAGGAAAGGTCAGGCAGAACAGGGAGGAAAGCAGAGAGAGTGTTGGGAAGGTCTCTCAGAGTCCACAGCCGAGGCAGCTGCTCAGGCTTCTGAGGCGGGGGCAAGGGCAGGAAGGCCAGGCTGGACACAGGGCAAGGAGTCCATGCACCTGGCTAAACTCCAGAGGTTTTGAAAGCAGACTGCCTCGAGGTGGAGTTTTAGCAGAACAAGGGAGAGAGGCTCACTGACCTTCCACATATCCTGTGTGAACTTCCCCTTCTATCCATGAGGAATTTCTGAAAATAGCCCCAACCTATACATCACCTACTTAGGGTGGCCCGGCATTGTTTTGAGTACTTTGCAGGCATTTATACTCAGTTAATAACGCTAGTAGCATCAACAACCGCATGATGTATAGTTAGTTGTCCCCTTTTTACCAACAAAGAAGCCAAGAGGCTAAATAACTTGCCCCTGGAGTTCAGCTGGTAAGTGACAGAACTAGGGCTCAAGCCCAGGAGTCCGCGTGCCCACGGCCACTCCACATGTCTCTCCAAGGACTGGGGGAGCTGAGTTATCGCCTCACGTTTTATGAGAGGGTTAGAACTGGACAATTTCTTTTTATAAGATTTCTTCTTTTTTTTAAATAAATTTTATTTTTATATTCCCCGTACAATTGCAACCCCCTTATTTTGACCCCAAGCCCTCCCCTCCCCACCCCCACCCCACCCCCCATAGAGTGTCTCTGGTTCATAGTTTTTTGTTGATTTTGATTTTCACTTTCTTATAGTTATTCTTTTTCCTGATCCCTTATTTAAGTTTTCTAGATTCCTGCTATGAGTGAGACCATCCGGTATTTTTCTTTTTCTTTCTGGCTTATTTCCCTGAGCATGATCCCTTCCAGCGCCATCCATGTTGCTGCAAATTGCATGTGTTTATCTTTTTTGAATGCTGAGTAATATTCCATGGTGTATATGTACCACATCTTCTTGATCCAGTCATCTATTTTTGGGCATTTGGGCTGTTTCCAAAGCTTAGCTATTGTAAATAGTGCTGCTATAAACATAGGGGTGCAGGTGTTCTTTGGAACTGATGTATCTGTGTCCTTTGGAGGACACAGGAGTGGAATTGCTGGATCATATGGAAGCTCTATGTTTAGTAGGTCCAGAAATCTCCACACAGCTCTCCATAGTGGTTGGACCAGTTTGCATTCCCACCAACAGTGCAGGAGAGTTCCTTTTTCTCCACAACCTCGCCAACATTTGTTGTTGCTAGTTTTTTTAATATGTGCCATTCTCACTGGTGTAAGATGGTATCTCATGGTAGTTTTGATTTGCATTTCCCTGATTACAAGTGATGCTGAAAATTTTTTCATATGCCTGTTGGCCATTTGCATTTCCTCTTCAGAGAAGTTTCTTTTTAGCTCTGTGCCCATTTTTTGACAGGATTATTTGTTTTTGCATCAGCTCTTTGCAGATTTTTGTGATCAGTCCTTTATCATTAGTGTTGTGTGCAAAAATGTAGAACTGGACAATTTTTGAGCTCCCTCCAGGGAGCTCAGTGCTGTGCAGAGTGCTGTGAAGCTGTCCATGGCCTTTGTGGTGCGAGTTCGATCACGGGCCTGCTGGGGAACAAACCACATGGCGCAGCAGACCTCTCCTGTCTCACCTGCTGCTCCCCTCAGCAGTGTATTTCGGTACATCTGCTTCTTCTGCTCCCTGCTCTCTCTGGTGAATCTTCTCACCCCCTGTGACTCTGGCCTGTACCCCACTTCTTAAAAAAACACACAACAAAAAACCTCTTCTATAGAACTGGGCAATTTTGAGATGAGAAAGCTGAAGCAGAGAGAAAGGGTTGGGGTGAGGGGCAGAAAGGAAGTTTAGCACAGCAGACTGAGGGAAAAACAATTCTAACATGTGTGGAGGGCTCCGCGGATGTGCCAGGCACTGCTGCAGACCTCACAGCAGTTCTGTTGGAGGCAAGCATTAATACTAGCACTGCCATTTTACAATTTTTTTCAAAGATTTATTTATTTATGCATAGAAGAACTGGGGTGTAGACCAAAGGTGCAGGGGGTGAGAGGACTCACCAGAGACAGAGGGGGGAGCAGAACAGGCAGGTCTAGGGAAATACACTGCTAAGGGGAGCAGCGGGGAGATAGGAGAGGTCTGCTGCGCCATGTGGGTAGCTCCCTGGCCAGTGACTGAACTCGAGCTGTAGAGGCTGCGGATAGCTTGGTAGCGCTGTCTTTAACCCTTGCACCACCAGGGAGGCCCCGAACTGCCATTTTAAAGAGGAAAAAACCTCCAGGGCGCCAGAGAGGTTAAGTAGCTTGCCGTAAGTTACTGAGGTAGAAAGTGGTGAACCTGAGATGTGAACCAGGTGATTGAGCCAGTGATCTTTATCAAGCTGAGTGTCACATATGTGGGAAAACTGGGGATCCATGAAATTAAACATGCTGGTGAAACATTCTTGTTTGCCTTGATTCCACTAAGACCTCGTTACATGCTGGGAAGGCAGGGATTATGGTTTATTAACTGTCAAATCTCCAGAACCAAGTGTACAACCTAGTATATGGAAAATGTTTCCCGGAGGAAGCCATGGGTAGGTGGGTGGGTGGATGGATGGAGAGCCACCCACAGCCTGGAACATTTAGTTCCACTCCATGTATGTTGATGCACCATAAACCCCCACATTTACTTAACTGCCTGGATGATCAGGCAGAGGACAGGGGTGACCCAGAGCTGATGCTGAGACTTCGGACCCAGTGGAAAATGCCATTGTTTCCCGGGCACCTGCTGGGCCCAAAGGATCCTTCTGGAGCAGGCTGAGCACAGCCAAGGATGGTCCTGGGGCTGTTTTTCACCAGCCAGCCTTTTCTCTCCAGCCACGAAGAATCTACCAAGTACTTCAACTTTTCAACCGCTGTTAAGAACAACAGGAAAGAAGCTGAGCATCGGTATCATGTGAGCGGCCAGGGATCACCATTCCCTTCCCCGGGCACTGCTCTTGTAGGGAGTGGAGGGGAGGAGCCAAGGGCTAGAGCCAGGAAAGAGGCCAGACTGGGGATGCCCGGGGGACCAGGTGATGGTCCGAACCATGTCTCCATTTTCTGCAGGTGAATAACCTGGGTCAGCGAGACCTGGCCATCAGCATTGTCTTCTGGGTGCCCGTCCTGCTGAATGGTGTGGCTGTGTGGGACGTGGCCATGCTGGCCCCTACCCAGGTGCCTTTTCTCACTCGCAAGGTCTGATCCCACAGTGCCTCACACTGTCCTCCAGTGAAATGTTGGTCATTCTCTTTCTCTCTCACTCTCCCTAGAGTCTCCCTTGTGCATCAGAGCGGGAACCTCCCCAGCATTTTGATTTCCTGACCCAGATTCCGAGCAGTCTTGTGCTGGTGAGAAAGGCCCTGGCCCCCCACTATAGGTCTAGCTGTGCCTTGGGGAAACGGGGAAATGCCCTGCTAAGCTGCAGAGCCCTGCATACACCCAGTAATTATTCACATATTCCTCACCTTTCACGGTCCCCCAAATTCAGACCCTCCAGCTTCATTCTTTTTTTTTTTAAAGATTTATATATTTTATACACGATCTGGGGTACAGGTCAGAGGCGCGGGAGGGTGAGGGAATTCACCAGAGACAAAGCGGGGAGCAGAACAGGCAGATGGACCAAAGACACTGCTGAGGGGAGCAGCGGGCAAGCCAGGAGAGGTCTGCTGTGCCATGTGGGTTTTCCCCCGGACAGCCAGGAATTGAATCTGCGCTGCAGAGGCTGCGGACAGGCTGCTTCACAGAGCGGCGCTCAACCCGCTGCACCACCAGGGAGGCCCTCCTCAGCTTCATCCTTCTCTGACCTAGGACTGCTCCGTCGCTGACTGCCTGAGGTTCCGCTGTGACATCCCCTCCTTCGGCGTCCAGGAGGAGTTTGACTTCGTCCTGAAGGGCAAACTTAGCTTCGGCTGGGCCAGCCAGGTGTGTGCCCAACAGCACAGCACCTCCCCCTCACTCCACCTGTGCCTGTGCCCATCCTTGCGCCAAGACACTTCTCCCACGCAAGCGTCCTCGGGGTCAGCACCCCAGCTCTGCCCTCTCCTTGCAGATGCAGCAGAAGAAGATTCACCTCATGAGTGGAGCTGAAATCCTGTTCGACAGATCCACGTATTCCCAGTTTCCAGGACAGGAGGCATTTCTGAGAGCCCAGGTAGGGGCTGTGTGGCCAGGCAGGTGGGATGGCTCCTGACGCAGAGTCCGTGATGCTCACTGGGGGCCCCCAGCATGGCAGGGGTAGGACAAAGGGCCCTGGGCAGCACATGAGTGCTTCTGTATCTCACCTCTGGGAGCAGGGCTTGGGGAAGGTGGGGAGGGAGTCAAAGGCTGGGGAACCTGGGGACAGTCTGGGACAGGAAGAGGCCTCCTGCTTCCTGACGGGACACCTCTACTTCAGGTGGAGATGGTGCTGGAAGAGTATGAGATCTACAACCCCATCCCCCTTGTCGTGGGCAGCTCTGTGGGAGGACTGCTGCTGCTGGCTGTCATCACAGCCGTGCTCTACAAGGTGAGCGTGTTCATCCTGCTCCTGACACCAGCAGTATCCAACCCAAGCTGGCCACAGGCAGGACAGTATTGTGAGAAGAACTCAGACTCTGGAGTAGACACATCTGGGTGTACATTTTGGCTCTGTCTTGCTGCTTAATGTCAAGCAAGTTGCTCAACCTCTCTGAGCCTGTTTTCTCATTTTAAAAATAAAAACAATGCCTACGTCAGAGTGGCTTAAGTGAGATAGAAATAGTGCCAAGGTATGTGTGCAAGCCTGCCTGACTCAGAATCTGAGTAGCACAGTACACACTCAACATGACAGCTGCTGTCACATAAATGTCTAGCACACAAATACAATTCGGCTTAGTTCCCTTCTCTCTCGGCCTCTTCTTACTCCCAACTTTCTTCCCTGTCCTCTTACCCAGCTTTTTTTTTTACTTCCCCTTGTAGCTTGGTTTCTTCAAACGTCAGTACAAAGAAATGATGGATGATAAGCTTGAAGACATGGCCACTTTCAATAAGGAGACTCTCAGCTCTGAAGTCCCCAGTTCGCCTTTGCCCCAATAATCCACTTTCCTGTAAATCTCTACCTCCACTGAGTAGGAATTTTCATACGTTTAAGAATTGCAACATTAAAATTAAAATTAAAATGTTTATAACAAATTTTTCTTCTATAAGAGAGCTCTAATCCAGGGGCCTGAGTGTTGTTCAAGAAAGAATTGGAGGAACCTGTTTGTGGGTTCACTCTTGGGTGAATGGGGCCTGTTATGAATAATGTCAATGGATGAGACCAAAGGAGCTCTCTATGCATGTGTCACTCATCGAATTCAGCACAGGCTTCAGAGTCTTCGGTAATGGCAAGTGAGCAGACAGTCCTAGGAAGTGAATGACCTGTCCAGACCTTGTTTGAACTAATGTCCCCTCTTGATATAAGGTCCCCAGAATCTAAGAGAGACTGGCTTCCAGAAAGGGGCATCTGATTTCCTGAACTAAGGCAGGAGACCCATGAAAAGTGACCCCAGAGAATGACCAAAATATTCCAAACTTAGAATCAGACCAGGAAAGTCTCAAACGTGGCAGAATGTTATACTATTTGAAATCAGGATGGTCTCTAGATAGCCAGAATCCAAAAATGCCATCAATGTGCGGCAGGTGAAAGGTAGCACTTCAGGATCTGCAGCCGTGAGTTCCATGGGTCTCTGATGAACTCCCTGGTGGCTCAAGGGGTTAAGTCTCAGCACTATCAAGCTATTGACAGCCACTGCAGCACGAGTTCGATCCCCAGCCAGGGAGCTGATCCACATGGCACAGCAGACCTGTCCTGTCTTGCCCGCTGCTCCCCTCAGCAGTGTATTTCAGTAGATCTGCCTGTTCTGCTCCCCACTCTGTCTCTGGTGAATCCTCTCCCCACCCCCACCTCCACCGGCGCCTCCGGGGCTTTCCGTAGCCCTACATCCCAGCTCTTTTATGCATAAATAAATAATAAAAATATTTAAAAAATAAATCTTATTCCTCTATCTGGCGAAGGGAAACCAAAATTATATCTTGCTCCAAAAATTGTGTGGATTCAATATATGTGAAAGCCCGTTACACTCTAGCGCTCTCCTTATTAACAGCAGCAGAGAAGAGGGAATCTTCTACCTACCCATCAAGGATGTCCCCTTGCATGGCTCGCAAATCCAGGCGTCGAGAAGAGCACGTGCTGCACTCCCAGCGCTTGCACCGAGAACGCGGCCGAAGCCCCGCCCCGCCCCGCCCGCCCCGCCCCGCCCCGCCCCGCCCCGCCCCGCCCCGCCCCGCCCCGCCCCGCCCCGCCCCGCCCCGCCCCGCCCCGCCCCGCCCCGCGGTGCACACTGTACCGGCAAACAGTGGACTTCCAAGCCTTTATTGAGCCAGGGGCGCTAGCCCCCTCAAGGGTGTTCATAACCAGTGGGCAAAGGGTTGACGTGGGGGTTGTGGAAAAGAGTGCGGTTGCCGTCCCCCCAGGAGTAGCGCTGCGGAGAGAGGGGGCCAGGGAGCCGTCAGCAACCCCTGCGCGGGGCCCCGCCCCCCTCCCGCCCGCGCCTGGCGCCCAGGCTCCCCTCGCGCCTCGGACCGCGTACCTTGGTGCGGATACGGAGGTGGTGGTAGGGGATGAACTCGGGGCGCCCGCGGTGACCCGCGTGGAGCCAGGAGTTGAGGGTGCAGAGAGCCACGCCTGGGAGCGCCAGCAAGTAGGTCAGGAAGCGCCAGGTGCCAGCTGCGAGCAGGGAGAGGCAGGTGTGAGAGATGAGGCAGGCACGGGGCAGGAGGGCGGTGGGGTGTCCCTGGGGCTATGGAAGGCCCCGGAGGCGGAGGTGAGGGGCAGTGTCAGAAAGCCACGGGGTCAGCCGTGGCCCCACTCACCTCCTGCCCCGCCGTGGTCTCCCTTGGCAGCGCTGGCAAAGCCCCGACTCAAGGATCTCAGCGGCAGAGCCATGGCGGCAAGAGGGGAACGGTGGCTCTGTCCTTCCTCTCTCCTTCGCACAGGCCTCTGTTCTCCACCCCTCTTGTAGGGCCAATCACCTGTTGAATCTCTAACACAGGCGGCTATTTTTAGGGGGTTTCTATATTTAAAATGAGGCCTGACTGGCATGAGGTCCTTCTGACAGCTATGGTAAGGGGACATTAAAAGACAACGTGCCATTCTTTTTATAGTTGCAGGGAGCTACTTTGCTCAACACTCTTCCCGTTAGCACGCAGGCTTCCCATGTAGCTGGAATTAAGTATCCTTTGGCATCTCTAATTTCTAATAATTTGTACCTTAAATGATGTTTATCAAGTTTAAGTCAAATAACATAGGAATGTGCCAGCTTAGGGTCTGGCCTGTGACAGTAGCTCAGTATGTGTATTCGTTGCAATTGTTTACAAAAAACAGAACTCACTGTTGACTAGTTTTGAAAAGATGAGCAACTGAGAATCTGAAGTCGCAGCGTCTTTGGTTTGCCAGAGCCAGCAATCTGCAGAGCCAGAAACAAACCATTCCGTGGCCTGTGAAACACCACCAGGGCTCACAGGTTGGACACCGGATGCCAAAACCTCTGCTGGATGGCCTAAGAGCGGCTGCTGTCCTGGGCTGCAGTCATCCTCCGCTGTCCTGGGCTGCAGTCATCCTCCTGTATGCACTGGCACCCGTCGTGAGTGCTTCCTGAGCTGATCCTGGTTCTAGCTTTATGTGCCTCTTCATAGGCGTGCAGAGCCAGCTCTGCCGTTTTTGTACCCACCGTTTCATAATTTCTCACTTTTAATTAAGAGCATAATTGGGCTACTGCCAAAGCTTCTTATGTCTCAGAGTTTTTTCTTTGCTTTAGGCAGAGAGAACAAATTTGTCAGTTAAGTAAATCCCAGTGGGTTGCATCCAGCCCCTTTTCAGACATACCTCAGTTGTGGGTGGTGAAGGGTAGGGAAGAACAACTCCCCACGTTCTCTTGTGCCTCTTTCCTGGGACACTACATACCATGACTATATTTTCCAAAATAAAGATCAATCCAACATGTGAGCTACTAAAAAATATTTCGTTTATGGAAGACCTAGGACAGAATATTTGAAATTGAAATTGTCCCAGAATGACATAGGGCAGGGGGTGGCTTCAATGGATGGTGAAGGGAGTTGAAGATCAGACAAAATGGGGATGGAGCCCACCAGCAGGCCAATGATAGTAACATGATAGGTTCAAAAGGGCGGCTATTAGCTCCATTTGCCCTTGGAAGCATCTAGAAACTTGTTATAGTGAATATGCACTGTTTTGTGTTGTCCCACAAACACAAAACAATATACCCATGTCTCCTCCTCCTGATTCTGGGTTTTCTTTGTGAAATCACCCCCATCTCCTCTTACTTTCAGTTCACAGTCAAGGTGGAGTTGACACCTCCTTCCCATGCCAATAAGTCACAGGGTCCAGGACTAGCCAATCAGGGCATTCCATTCTCCTGGCCATGCTGATTGATTTAGGAGGAGCATAAGTCCACAAGTATCCTTTGGGAACTTCTTTCTTGGGCCTTTAAGACAATAGTATTTCAACTGGACATGGAATTGCTAGAGTCTGAGAATACAACCTTAGATTGAAGCCAATATTCAAGCCATTTTGCAGAGCAGACCTGAAATATGGGAAGATCTAGCCTTGTTAGTATTATTTGAACTCCAGGTCAAGATGTGCTAGAATTGATCTAGTTCTAGAAAGATTTGTACTCTTAGATTTTTTCATTTACATGAAATTAAAAAGTTTGAGATGGGATTTAAGTCTTCCTTAATTGCTAAATGTTTTCTTTGAAAAAGCATATCTATAAAGCTTTATCAGTGAATTTCTGACTTCTGTTCCCTTTACTGTGGTCCATGTTTTATTAAAACATTTTTGCCTTCTCTTGTAGATAGATACAAATGTCTTTAGTAAACATTCTGTGGGGTGTGTATGAATGAGACCTAATGGGACTAGTACTCATTAAAAAGGAGATAGTCAAATGAATTACACTTTGAGATACAGTCCAACCTACCAAAGGTGAAGGGATAAACAAATTGTGAGACACTCATAAAAAAGCATATGGCTCAGCATCATAAAGGAACAACTATTTTTTCATGCAACGAATAGATGTACCTCAAAATTATGTTAGCCCAGAGAGGCCAGACACAAAAGAATACATACTGTATGATTCCATTTATATGAAATTCTATAGTAGGCAACTTATTTTAGTGGCAGAGAGCAGATGGATAGTTGCCTAGGACTGAGTGGGGGAGGGAATGGCTGGATGCAAAGGGTCATGAAAGAACTTTGAGGGGTGATGGAAACACACCCCTCTATCTTGATTGTGATGGTGTTTACCTTAGTGTACATATCACGTTAGTGTTGGTTGTCACACTGTTGTATATATTTATCAAAAATTACTTGATGGCACACTTAAGATGGATGCATTTTATTATGTGTAACTTCAATAATGCTATCAGCAGATATGTTAAGCTTTTTCTGAGATGTAGAGTGGGCAGGAGTATCAGTGCTGATGGGCCCATTCTTTTTAGATTATAAAATTATAATTTTTAGATTAAAAATTACAACTGTAACTGAAGCACGAAATTTAAATAACTAGCACCTATAGAGTACTTACTATATGCCAGATGCTGATCTAAGTTTCTACACACTGATGGAACCTCATAACAACTCTCTAAGGTAGGGACTATTCCCCCATTTTACAGATGAAGAAATAGAGGCAGTGAAAGGACTTAACCTTGCCAAAGTCATCCACCACGTTAAGTGGCAGAGCCAGAATCCAACCAGTCTAGCTTAAGAGAGCTTCTAATCTCTGTGCTACAAGCCTTTCATTAAGACAACATTGAAAAAACAAAAACAAAAAACCCTTCCATCTACAACTCCACCTCCTCTAAGAAAAATATGAGCCAGACCCCTGCCACCAGCCACGTATGCTGGAATCCCCATGCCCCCAAGACCCAGATGTCCAGGGTCCGGGCGTCCTGATCCAGGTTCGGCCTGGGGGAGCTCAGTTTCCCGCCCACCCTGCTGGGTTCGCATGTCCCCCAAAATTGCTTCCGCCTCTACCTCGGAGAGGAAACGATCAGAGCGGTGCTGCCTGCCACAAAGGGCGGCAGAGGATGCCACATTCCAATCCAGAACTAGAATGTAAGGGGAAATGGCTAGGGGTTGACATTTCCTCAAACCAGAGGCGTTAGGGTCCGCGAGGCATAGTCACCAAGGTCACGGACGACGCCAGCTCCCGGGTTTCCCCCCCCCCCCCCCCCCCCCCCCGCCCACCCCGGCCCCGGCCCCGGCCCCGGCCCCGGCCCCGGCCCCGGCCCCGGCCCCGGCCAGAGCCGCGGGTCTGCGCGTGCGCCGGCGCCGGCCCGCCCCTCCTCCTCACCTGGGATTGCGAGCCACGGATGACGCGAGCTGGCGGCACGACCGCGCCCCCTAGCGGCCGGAGGTAGCTGGAAGACGCTCGAACTGGGAGGCTTTGGAGGGTAAGCAAGCAACATCTGGTTGAAGAGGTACTTGGGTCGCTGAGAGGGCATTAGAGTGAAGCAAGTGAAGCCCTCACCTCCGACACTGAAGTGAAGGGGGCGCCCAAAATACTTACTAATAGAGATAAACATTTTAATGCAAAGTTTCAAAAAATAAAAATTAATGCCCAAAATCCATGGTGAACAAAACATCAGTTTTAAGTAGAGGAAGAAGTGAAGGGGGTTCCAACCTTACTCTTTCAGGGGCTCGACTCACAACGTTCTAATCATGGCCCTGATTTCAACTAACCTTTATGTACAAAAAAACAGGTGTGTGGCAAGGCCTGTCGTTTGCTAAGAGACGCTGAGGCCCAGAGGCCACCTGTAAGCTGCAGGGACAGGACTACGAATGTGCCAGGCTCAGGCCTCCAGCTCAGCCCCTGACCTGTGCTCTGTGGCATCTGTTGGTGGGGAACATGACAAGAACCCTTTCTCCATCACCGACCCCCCAGCCTGGGGACAAGTGGTCTCTGTTAGATGCCATCTCCATGAAGACAGGCTCCACGTGAGGAGCTTTCTCCAGTGCCAGCATTGTGCATTCTGTGTTGTTTCTGGTCCTGAGTCCCTCCCCTTTAGCACACCAAGCTACCCTGAGCTCATTTCTGTAACCTGGGGAGGGGGAGCTAGCATGTGAGCTGGCATGACCCTTGTTGCATGACACCCCCTGCGAAAAGCACGAGACGTGAGACTGCAGCCCACTCCCTTGAGGCAGGTGTTCCATGGAAGTGATCCCACAGAAGAGTCACAGCCTTGGGAGAGGGTCATCATCTTCCCACTGTACAGAGGAAGGAAATGAAGCGCAGAAGAGGTACAGCCGTGCAGGGTCATACAGTTAAGAAGAGACAAGTCTGGACACTCCTGCCAGACGCTGAGAAGGGTTACTTTGCATTCCTTCCTTGCAACCCCAGTCTGCATGGGTACAGGTTTAGAAGCAGCAATCCTGAGAAGAGGAAAACTAGGGGCAGGGGGAAGATGCAGGGGATAATGGTGGAAGGACAGTCCCTTAGGGGTGGGATTTAGGCCTCCCTCAAGCTCAAAAAGGCTGCAGTCTGCGCTTGTCTGAGGAACAGGCAGCTATGGGGAGGAAAGAGAAGGGCCTCACAGCTTAGACTCTGCTATGGACACAGACTATGCAGTGCCATGGAAGCCTCCCTCAGGTGCCCATGTACCCTAATTTCTACCAACAGAAATACACTGGTTTGGGGAGTCATCCCCAAGGACATCAAAAGGACCACGTTCAATCCCGGATATCCAGGCACAAGTGAACATTCATCACTTTTTCCCTATTGAGGGAGCAAAGAAAGAGTTTGGGAGATCTGTGAGAAAGGGGGATAAAAAAGGGGAAGGGGGCCTCCCTGGTAGAGGAAGAAGTGAAGGGGGTTCCAACCTTACTCTTTCAGGGGCTCGACTCACAATGTTCTAATCATGGCCCTGATTTCAACAAACCTTCATGTACAAAAAAAAAAAAACAGGTGTGTGGCAAGGCCTGTCGTTTGCTAAGAGACGCTGAGGCCCAGAGGCCACCTGTAAGCTGCAGGAACAGGACTACGAATGTGCCAGGCTCAGGCCTCCAGCTCAGACCCTGACCTGTGCTCTGTGGCATCTGTTGGTGGGGAACATGACAAGAACCCCACAAGGGATTAGGACCCAACCTATGGAGCTGTCCAGCACGAGTTTGATCCCCAGCCAGGGAGCTAGCCACATGGCGCGGCAGACCTCTCCTGACTTGCCTGCTGCTCCCCTCAGCAGTGTATTTCAGTAGATCGGCCTGTTCTGTTCCCCACTCTGTCTCTGGTAAATCCTCCCCCCCACCCGCCACAACTCTGGCCTGTACCCCAGTTCTTGTATGTATAAATAAATAAATCTTTTTAAAAAGGGGGGGGAGGGGGCAGATGACAAACTCTTTTTTCCCTACCCCCCTGAACACCCTCTGAACTCAACAGATCTCCCAGTCCTCTGCATTGCCTCTGGGCCACACCAGCCTAGCTTCAACCTGTAAAGACAGTTCTCATGTAGGGAGAAGCCCTTCAAAGGGGTCATACCCTCAGAGTTCAAATTCTCTGGTTCTTAGGCCAGAATACAGCTTGGCTTTGTTCTAATAGTGCATCCCCTCTGGAAGATTGGACCCCCGCTCCCCCACCCCGCACTAACAGGGGTATTCCTTGCCTCTGGTCCCATTCCTCCAGGGTGAGGCAGTTGTTGCTCTAGGGATGATTAAGCCCCTCACTCCCTAGGCCTGTGAAGGAATCTGGTCAGCAGTTGTCAAAGATGTTTTACATCTGGGAGCAGCTGGGTCTGTGCTGGACAGCTCCTGCCATCCAAATACTCCCTCTAGTTGGCCTGGGGCCTCAAAGAACAGGAAGAAAAGGCAACAATTCCAATTCTACTACCCAAGCCCCCCAACCTGGAGCTCCCTGACCCAGTTCAGAAAGTCTGGAACGGGATGTGAGGACCCTCCCAAATGCTATCGTCAGGCCATGAATCACAGTCCTAAAGGAGCAGAAAGGAGGGGTGTTTAGAGGTGCTGGACCCTGGAGCTCCTTGAAGACTAGACCAAAGTCAGAGCTGAAGTGTGGGCTGAAACTGTGGCCAGAGCTATTGGCAGATCTGAACTGACTATAAAATCCTTGCTGTAGTTAGGGCATTTATAGGGTTTCTCGACCATGTGCAAGCATTGGTGTTTGAGTTTGGGGTTGAGATAGAAACTTTCACCACATTCTGGACAAGCGGATACATTGGTGCTCAGTGAACTGGGGGCGCTCACTAAAGCCACGACCACAACCAGAACACTTGAAGGGTCATTCTCCATGGTGGGTGCACTAGTGCCATAGATACGAAGCAATCAATCCACACTTCGGGCACTCGAATTATTTGAGGATTGCAGAACAGTTGGTCCTGGCAGGAGCTTCTTCCTCCCCAGAGTCAGAGCCTCACCCCCATAAGTACTGCTGGCACAGCAGCACTTCCCGGGCAGCTGGCTCCGCAGGCCACACTAGGAAGGGCCGCTCATGCGAAATAACTGCAATGCAGGGCAGACGTCAGGATTCCCTGGGATCTTGATGTCCAGTTTCCCAGTTTCTCTGCCCGTCCGAGCTCTTCCTGGCCACTTCCGGCGCTGCCGCCTCCATTTCGAGTGAAGAGTACCCGGGTTCCTTTATCAGCCACTCAGCTCACAAGCAGTCAGAGAGGGAGACACTGGGGAGCAGGAGGCCAGCACCGGAAACGGATAAATTCACTCGCCCACGCCGCCCGCCGACGAGGGGGCGGAGCCGGGGCCCGCCTACAATGGGGCGGCAGGTCGCGACAAGTTTAACCCTGTCATGCACCTGGCCGAGCGAGAGCTCTCCATCTGCGGCCGCTGTCAGGAGCCTGACACCTGTGGTCTCACTAGAGATTCTGAGTCCATCAGCGTGGATTTGGGTGCCCCGGCCTCCGGTGGGAAAGGTGGCGGAGTAGTCAAGTCACCCGGAGGAGCACGGTACTGAGATTCCACGGTGGGATGTCTGGGTTCTCCAGGGGCACCCGCCCCCTCCGAGTCCCCCGGGAGAGTCCCCCACGCATCCGAAACCAGGAGCGCTGAGTTTAGTGCAGACTACATATCCCAGGATGCACCGCTCGCGCCTCCAGGGCTCGCCCACGATTAGATAACCTCTGTTCCCGACGTGCCTTCCGAGGCCGTGCAAGGGTACCGGATCGGATGGAGAACTACAACATCCGACGTGCACAATAGCTGCAGCCGAGGCGCTATTTAAAAAGCGTCAGAGAGGCGGGGCCTGCCACGCCCCTCTCTTCCAGTTCCGCTCCCCTGGATGAGCGGCGAGGAGTGGGGTGGAGCCTTAGGCCTGGGCCAAGATGGCGGCTGCGAAGCCAACCCCCACGGACTCGCTCTCGTTCTGCCTCGCGCAGCTCACGGCGGCGGCCGGGGAGGGTCTTGGTGGGGGAAAGGACACAGCTACCAACGAGACATCCTTGGGCCGTGTGCTCTTAGCCCTCCGTACGCGCCACATCAAGGCAGCAGGGGGAATCGAGCGCTTCCGGGCACGCGGCGGGCTCCGCCCCCTTCTCGCTCTGCTACGGCGAGCCGCTGCAGCGGGCCCCGCCCCCTTCCAGGCTGGCCCCGGCTCCGCCCCCTCGTCGGCGGAGCCAGCGGCTTCTGATGGCTCCGCCCCCTCGCCGGGCCCCGCCCCCTCCGCCGCGGCGTCTTCGCCGCCAGCGCGCCTGCGCAAGACGCTGGACTTGGCTCTCAGCATCCTAGCCAACTGCTGTACTGAAGGGGCGTGCCGGGCTGAAGTGCGCAGACTCGGAGGCATTCTTCCTTTGGGTAAGTGCTCCGCCCTCAGTTCCTAGAAGGATTCCACCCGCACCTCCTCTCGTCGGGCCCTGGGCGGAGTCTTGAGTTCTTTGTGCTGTGGGCTGCAAGAACTCGCTTTAGGACGGCGCAGAGCCCCCACCTCTCAAGCCGATGCCCCGAGTCCTTCCCTCTCGACTAGTGTATACCCCAACCCTTCCAGATAGAGCATGACGGTCATTGCCTGGCTCCTGCTTGTGGAGCACCCCGCCTCTGTCCTGGTGGAAGTCAGAGTGTTATTTTGAAGATTCTTAACCTCCTTTTGTGATGTTTACGGCAGACATTCAGTGCCGGCTGAGTGAGCGACTCTGACACCCTGACACCCCGTTTGATGAGCTGGCGGTCAGAGGATGTGCTCGTTTGGGAAATGGACTCTGCAGTCAGCTAGACCCCTCCAAAGCTAGGATTCCTTGTTGTAAAATGGGCTAGTAACTATACTTCGTAAAATTGGAATAGGGAGAAAGTGAAAAATAAATATAGAGCGCAGATACCCTAAGCATGGACTGGGTAATTTGAGTTATTAAAAACTAGCACAGCAAGAATAAATTCTAACGAAAGATGGCAAGCTTTT